AGAGAGAACAAACCAGCTTCCAGCTGACGAGCAGATTGGGAAAAGACGGTGGAAATGGATAGGATATACATTACGGAAATCACCAAACTGCACCACGATACAAGCCGTAACTTGGAATCCCGAAATGAGGCGTAAGTAAGTAAGTAGTTATCATGATAATTCATAAAATTAAATGATTCAATTTATAAATGTCAATACTGTACCAACTAGAACTAATGACATGTTAATTTAATTTAAGTTACAAATTATTGTGTTTAGTTGCTTTGTGAACAACAAAAATACAACTCACATTCTTTGTAGTTATGTGAATAACAAATAACATTATTGATGAAATGGATTATTATACTGATCATTTCGAGTTTTCTATTTCTTTACATTCTGAAAGCCTTTGGTCAATACATAAACCTATTTATATAAGATTACTAAATAAGACTATTCTTGCATCATAATCCTTAATATTTTCAAATGACAATACTCTTCTCTATTTTTTTTACTCTGTTAATCATTTAATTTAATGTAATTTCTTACTGTTTCTTTTTTATACCACCATTAAGTAGTTAAGCCGTTGGTTTCCATGGTGAATTATATACATCATTAAATTTTAAATTAATAAATATATCTTTACTCATATTGATATTCAAATGGTCCCATTTCCTTTTTTCTAAGCATTTTCTATTTCATGGATGCTCTTTGTTTTTCTTTCATATATTACATTAATTCATTAATTCAACGTTGATTTAAACTTCTTCAATTTGCAAGTAACAGTAAATTAACATTTCTTTGAAACATGTTTTAAACAATAAGATAAGTATAAACTGATTATTGGACATAATTAATGAAGTCTGTTTAAACCAATGTCGTTTGTATATATGTATCTATTTGTGTAAGAAAGAGAGAGAGAGAGCGACCGAGAGAGAGAGAGAGAAAGAGAGAGTAAAAGTTTTTGGGACTTTTATTCTCCTAGATGAAATATATAATAGAGTTTAAGTTAAATTAGCGCCAATTGTTATTATCCTATGTCTAATGTTATATTTGATAATTTGTTTGTTTAGTAATGGTTAAAATTTAGTACAATATATAAATAATAGTGAATGATGGGAATACTGATAGAATGTGTGTGTGTGTGGGAGAGAGAGAGAGAGAGAGCAAAAGAAAGAGATTCATTTATGTGTTTACCTCTTTCATGTACATCAAGAAATGAACTACATTAAGTGATTCATGTAAACTGAAAAGAAAGTATCTAAAGACTTCAACTTGGGAAAGAAACAATCTTATGTGTATATGTATGTCTATATGCATTTATATTATCTATATTTGCATTTGTACTAACTTGTTTTATATATATTTTACACAAATAAATGAAAGACAACATAAACATCCTCGTTGATAATAATAATTTCTTTAGTAAAGAGAAAAAAAAAGAGATCTAATATTCAGTTCAGTTTGAAGACAGGTTGTGTAATAATGTAGAACTATTGAAAAAGAACAAACAACAACAATAATATTAATTAGTAAAATGGATAATTGTTTCATCTAGGGACTGGCCCACCTATGATCTTACACAATAGAATTTAATTTTGGATTTTTAATGCTAATAGTAAATTGGATTTGATTGATATATACCTTATCAATATTATTTAATGACATTGTTGATAAATGTTTCATTCATAATAAATATGAAAATTACAATTGATTATGACTTCAGTTTACCTTGACATGAATTATTATTGCTCACTACTGAGAAGAACTATGCGAGGACGAAATGGCCATCCTGTGCTTCCAGGTTTAATTGACTCATGAATTCAACTATTAAAATCATAGGTACGCACTTCTGACGAGTCTGATATTAGGACGAAACTAATGTATTAGTATAAATATGATAGCATAAAATACGTTTGATTTTTTCCCTAAGTAGCTAATTGAATAATACACTAACGTTTGATGCAATTTGTAATAATTTACATTGTATATATATATCCCTTATCAGGACTAGAACTCATGTCACTAAGCCTCACACTATGAGACGTCATTACTGAGCTACTTGGATTGACTAATCATTAGAAAAAACCAATTCTATATTTCCTTATTCCCTTAGTACAGATCAAATTCAGTTTATCAGTGAATAATACAGATCAAATCAAATCACTTAAACTAGTAGGAACATTGCAGACTGACCAATAGATTTCGGTAGACATAAATGATTAGACTAACATGATATTCGCTACTACTATCAGATAAATGTACGTTCATATCAACCTCAAAAAGGACTGAACACACATCCTAGATTCCATAACTTGCAGGTCTGTATCAGTGGCTAGCAATAGAACACAGAACATATGTTTAGCTCAATTCGGAAACTGTCAACTAGATATACTAACATTACAGTGTTAATATACACACTGAAACATAAACTCACCATCTATCATTTTAAATACATATTATCTACCAAGCTACTGAATCCAGATAGTTACCAAAATATTCAACTGATGCAAAACCATTTGTAAATATTTACATTTTCTCACTGTTTAATACCAACCGTTACAAAGTATAATTAATGTTCAGGCATACATCGTCGTAGATACTCACTACTGAGAAGTCCAATATTAGAATGAAACATCCATTCAGTATTTCCAGGTTTTCTTTGATAGCCTAACTTTGATAATTTTACAATCTCTATAAATCTTTTTAATTAAAAGGCGAGACTATAATTTGTGGACGGCGATGCTAATGTGACATTGAGAATGCCCACCTACTAACTAGTACCAAAAGAGTTTTACAAAACCAGGACTAAGAACTAGAATCATGATTTGTAGTTGATAGTTAAGGTTAAAAATTAGATTTAGGGTTTTCATCACGAACTGACATCAGCTTTCATACTGAAACTCTCAGTTAACCAAATGGATGAGTGAATTTCGTGCCAAAACCCAAGACTCCTTATCTTATATCTTATTGGTTCATCCATAAATTATAGTTTCGCCAATTAAAATAATAAGAATGTTTTTTGTAAGCAATAATGGATAGTGGCTAGCAGTGGAATCCAGGACGCGCGTTTCGTCCTATTTGGGACTCGTCAGCTCGATGTACCTGCAGCTCAGAGTTGATGTTCGCTCTGGGATGTCATCGCGTTCTCCACTTAGCTACTGAGTCCTGATATCCACCTTCTTGTGCAATGGGTTGAAGTTTTATTCACCTGGCTTTGTTTTACTTGCATCTTCCCATTGTTATTTAAGACTGTAATTGATCAGTCTGTTATTGGCATATGTGCATACTGTACGTATGCCTCGATATTGCCTTAATTCACAAGCTTCTATAAGCAAAAATAGGACGAAACGTGCGTCCTGGATTCCACTGTTAGCCACTTTTTTCATCGTTTCCATCTTTGCTTATAAAAGCTTGTGAATTAAGGCCATATCGAGGCATGCGCACAGTATGCACATATGCCAACAACAGACTGATCAATTACAGTCTTAAACCTCAATGGGAAAATACAAGCCAAACAATACCAAGTGAATAAGATAGTTTGCAATTATTAAAGTAATGATTTGTTGTTTTTTGTTGTTGTTGTTGGTGTATTATTTGACCCTTCATAAATGTGTTTTGAACAAAACATTATGTAAAATGTATTTCCTTCATAAAACTGAAATACATATATAAATGTAATCAAGGAATAATTATAACTTGGTATTATTTATTTGATGCATAGAATAATGAATCAACATAGTTCATTTTTACCAAAAGTTACACATTTCCAAATTTTTTTTGTTTTAATACACATTTGGGGGGGGGGAATGATTGAAGTTAGATGTTTTCAAACAGAATTATCATGCTTATTATTAACTGTTTAATTAATAGGTAAATTACAGTATACATGATTTGTATTACGTTGTATTGGCTTTGCTTCGTTAATCGATCACCTCGATAACAGTTATAATATAAATCTCAATGATGTTTGAAATCAGAAGGCAAAGAGAAGCGGCCAGTAGGATCAGTGACCTTTGAAATACCAATTGGCACATCGATTAGTGAACAATAATCAAGATGTTAACGTTTTTTTGATTCTTGAGCTCTTTCTGTCACAATAGCCGACCAGATTACGAAAGTAGAAAGCAGATCAGTACTGTACTATACTCAGTTTTATCATGAATCAGAACTCATACAATAATATTACCTGAAATAACCAACCATACAGCAACACAGAGAATCACATTGTCATAAGTGATAAATTAATAATACTCAATAATGTTACTTACCTTATAGTAATTTAATTGTTGAGTTCATGAGTCAATTAAAGCTAGACAACTATAAGAAACCTGGAAGCACTGGATAGTCATTCCGCCCTAGTTTTGAACTTTTCAGCAGTGCGCATCTACGATCCGGCCTCACGAGACACAAATCCAGGACTTATCGGTCTCATATGCGAACGGTTAATCTTTAGACCACTGACTAACCTTAAGCAATCCAATTCAGTGAGTTACTATCTCTCAACAGACTCTGTCGAACTTCACTGGTTACTGCTTCTTACTAAAAACTCAAGGACATACATCCTGAAACCAGTCACTAGTGATCATATAATAATTATTCACAGAAAGGGCTTTTTGTGTTTATTAAAACAGTGTTCCTCAATCAAAAATGTTTAACTTTAGTTTCTCGAAAAAATAAATATGAAAGTCTAATGTACTATAATTTACTCTTTACATTTGAATTGTCTATGGAAAACAATGACTTATTAAGTGTATTATTTGCTGATCAAAACAACATGATTGAAACTATTGAATAATGTAGAAAAGAAACAAACAGTGGCGGGTAATCCGTTTCTTCTTTCATATTAAATTGATCTTTCTTTTATCAATGTCTAATAGAGTGACTAGATATCAATTCATTATTTTCATTAGTTCAATTTCACAAAAGATCTATTCAATAGTAATAATAGTAATAGTAATGATAATAATAGTTTACTATTGTCTTTTAATGATTTATTTATCTTTATTTTTTTTATACAGTATTCAATATTTTATTGGTTATAATCGATCATTATGGTTTACTGTAACACCATGTACAAATTTATTAAATCGTATTGAATTTGTTGGATCATCTGCTTATAATGAACCATGGGAAGAAAGTAAAGATTATGGTTTACAGTTATCGAAATCTGATATATGTGAGTATAATTATAATGATTATACTTTTCTATTTGAATATTCATTTAAACACATAAACATTGGTACAAGGAGGCACCAAATAGATATGAGTCACATAAATCATTAGATTTATATGATGGCTGGGATACTGCCCGGACACCCTAACTGAAGCAGGTGGTTTTTTTGGGGGGTCACATTCGGAGCCTTTGATCCAAAGGTCTGATCCACAAGGCAGTGCAGCAACGTCAGGAGATGCAGTCCAATGGTAGCTGGTGGAAGTTTATTCTCTACTCTTATTAGATCATTTGATTCTATTTGTTTTTACAACCATTTAGGTACATGTTCATGATTACTCCTCAAATTGTTCGAAATGTATTCCGCTAATATGTATCATCACACATTTCTGATAATCTTTGTCTTTCTATTTCTTATCAATTCTGTTAATATTAAATATTCATTTACGATTAAATGTAAGTACAAATGCACATCATGTACTGAACTGTGTTTGTACTAGTATTACAAATTGTTCATCTGATATCCAGGAATAATTCACTAATGTGTATTGATAAATATTCTTCAACTATATACCGTATAGTCTTGTGTTATTTTTATTTGTCATGACTGTACCCACTAATAAATATGTTTCTATTAATTTGATTTTGTTCATATGTTGAATGAGACTGTTTACTTATTTCATGTCATTAAATAAACTACCCTGTAGTTTATTCATACAGGACATTAGAATCAAGATCTTCATTACAACATGGGACATGAGAAGAGACTAGATTTTTCTTACTAATTGATCAATGAGACTATAATTTATGGACGACCTTTGAGTGACGCTAATGTGACCTTGAGAGTGTCTACTTACTTACTAGGGATAAATGAGGGCTATAAAGCAGTTTGAAGAATAAAGATTATGATTTACAGTTGATGATTAGGGTTAGGAATTAGTTTTAGGGTTTCCATCGCGAATTGACATCAACCATAATGCCAAGACTCTACTTAGCTAAATGAGTGAATGAATTTCGCACCAAAATCTAAGACCATTTATCGTAAATTTGATTAGTTCGTCCATAAATTATAGTCTCGCCGCTGAAATGAAGCGGAAAATAGGTAAAATCATTGAAAAATTAAATTAGATATTATGAATAAAGTTCTTTATTTGAATTGAATATGAATCACGCTATTGAATGGATCTTTGAAAAAATGATCTATGCTTTTAAATCAATTGAACTATTGTTAAATATTGAAATATACACAAGATGTATACAAATAATTAGGTATTTAGAAAATCTTTGATCAATTTTAATTATTCATAAAATGGTATAGTAAATGTATCGATAGATTTCCTGAATGATTGTTAGGTCATGATTTATGAAGTTCATCCATGTAATAACAAATGCAAAACAGATTTTAATGGTGACATTCATTAGTGATCTCACATTATCACTGATTAAATGAAGTTGTAAATGTGAACTATTTAAATTTTGACTCAGTAGCTTATCTCATCAATAGACCTGAAAGTCTTCAGTTTCATCTAGTGTAGATAGCCGAATATAAATTACCTACTGAGGAGGAATTCCAAACTATTATGAAACATTTATTCAGTACATTTCGATTGTCCATAAGTTTCTCCATCTATAAATATGATTGATGAGGTAAAATAAAAACTATCATCAATGGCAGTTACTGGGTCACCAAATAGAAGAAACCTAATCATATTTCTAGGAAATTCCAATGTTAAAAAAGTAAAAAAACTTTCAAATAAATCAGGGATTTCTCTGTCCCGGTTACTCGATGAATAAATGAATAGTATATCAATGTTTGTTTATTCAGTGACTGATCAATTAGATCTTAGAATTCTGCTTATAATTATTATATAATACGAAAGCTCACAAAGAATGATTATGTATTTTAATGACTAGAAATCAACTTTTTTGATTGAAAGTTCATATTTACAAACATTCTATCAAAATATAATAAATTGTCATCTTCACTGATAACATAATTCCAATACTCATCAATTCGAGTTTCGGAGCAAACATCAACTCTAGGATGCAGGCACATCCAGCTCACGAGTCTCAAATAGCACACAACACACATCATGGATTCCAAAGCTAGCCATCATCTGTCTTTGTTTACAATATCACTTAATGTTAATAGATATTGGTTATATTAATTTTCTCTTGGTGGATCTCCACCTTATCAAAGTGAATATGTCGTTGAGTGTTTAAATACGTCAATCAATATGAAAGAATAAAGAATAAAGTCATCAGTTCACTGTGTGGGTTAAAATTTCATTTGAAGTTAATTAATTAAAGACTCTTGATGTATGAAGATTTCTTTTTATAAATGTTATATCCTAGCGAAGATTAAATTATGAGTAACTTCTGAGACCTTTTAATGTACTAATATTATCTATATATTCCTATTGTATAATTGTTCAGTAACTAGATTGTGTATATTTATATTCATCTTATTATAAGCTTCATTCTGACCTATAGATTATTATTGGACGATTTACTGTTCTTAAATTATACTCAGTTTACTAATTACTATCTCCCACGTTCACAGTCACATTGTGTATAAATGTTTTTTCCTATTTTATGGTGCGTTGCGGTCTGTTGTTTGATATATAAACCCAGTATGTCTGAAATAAATGATTCGCACAGTGGAGGCTGTTATTGGCATTCTGGACTCAACTGGACGTGCTAGGAGAGCAAAGGACCAATAGAACGCTAGGCTGATCAGACCGGTTGGACGTCATTGGTTTAGAACGGTACAAATGCGAATAAGTCGTATTTTGACTGGCGAATAAATTACGCGAAAACTAGCGGGTTATAAAGACACAACTATAAGGAATTAGGAATTATTATAAATCACTTCAGAAATTGTTTAAAACTTAATTTGAATTTTTTTCTGGTTACCGTTAGTTAGCGAGTTAGTTTTCTACGGGATGGGGTCGCTGACCCCATGCCCAACCCTCCTTCTTTTTCCGGTCTTGCGACCACCAGTAGACCCAGAGGGGCTATTCCACAAATAATTTAGAGTAGATTCATGAATAATAGATAATGATAGCTTGAATACTAATGGAAGACTTTAAAATGTAATCAACAATTTCGACATTTCAAAAAAGTCTAGCTGATAATGTTTTGTAAAGATTAGTTTCATTTGTATATTGTATTTGATAAAGGCTGATCTCATTCGAAGTATTAATGAAAACTGGGGTGTTGATATGAGATTTCTTAACAATACTCGCCTATGAATCTGCTCAGATTAAAATCTAAAGCCTTCAAATTTGGCAATGAACTGTTCAGAAATACATTTAAAACATTAAGTTCGATTAACATTGAGTGTACAACTATTAGTAACATGGTAGTATGAAGAGGATAATTAAAATGGACAACACAATATTTAATTTCACAAACGATACATTGGTTAACATTAGAATAGGTGTTTCAGATATAAATCAGGTAAGAAACTATTTTTACACTTTAATAATGCAGAAATGGATGACTTATCACTGTATTCAACATTTTAACTTTAAGGTAATCTAAAAAACAGTATTTAATAGGCACGTTTTGTTCTATTAAGAACTTATCAGTTGAATATGAAAGATAGTAGATGCGCACTGTTGAGGAGTCCCATACTAGGGTAAAACGTCCGTCCAGTGATTACACGTTTTCACTAGTGATTCATGATCTCAATCATAAACTTAATAATCTATACAACCCCATACTGAAATGATTATTTACCTAATTAGTTTGATATTTATTATTAATTTAAATGTTCTGAAGTGCTTAATGAGTTTGGTTATTGAATCAGGGTTACAGTATGATCAGATCGATGCAAAAAAGCATGTATATCCATTTATTTTAGTCGTAAAAAAAGATGAAAAGATCTTTGCAGAACTCACTTATATCCACTATCCAAAGTAGATAATTATAGAAAGATCTGTTTAAGGAGTTACATCAAATTCAGCCTTAAATATTAACAGAAGGAAGATATAAATCTTTGAAAGGAATGATGATGGATATAACTGAAGTGTGGGTTTACTGAAATGTTGATTACAGTCAGATGAATTATTTATTAAAGATATTCAAAAAGAAAACAATGATAACTTATCAAAACATGAAAAAGTTGTCATGAAGTGATTGACTGAGATAAATTGTATTTCAATACATTTCAAGCTGAATGATTTGATAGATATCAAGGTCATCATATGGACTAGAAATCCATTATGATCTGATCCTTCACAAAGTCATTAAAGTAAAAAGGTAAAACAACAATTTGGGGTTTTTCTGTGTTAGTTACCTTACTAAACTGATAAATTTTAAAAAAGTTTGAGTAGAAGATCGCATTTTAAGCAATGAAAACGAGTTTATTTTTAAATTAGCATGAACATGATTTGCATAAGTTTTAAAGGATACATATACCCGAACAAAAACTGATCAAAATTTGTTCTCGATTATCAACAATGTGATATTTTAGACATTTACTAATAATAAGCTGAGATGATTGTGGCTAGCAGTAAAATTCGAGACTCGTGTTTCGTTTTATTTGAGACTTGTCAGTTGAATGTGACTCCATCCTAAAATTCATGTTCACTTGGAGACTTGAACCCAGTACCGTTCGCTTTAAACTCCATCGTATTATCCAGTTAGATACTGAGTCCAGATAGCCACTAGCTTATGTAATGTTGTGATGTTTAATTGATTTTTGTATTAATCTTTTGAATCTTCTCATTGATGTTTAATACTGCAATTGATCAGTCTCTTATTAGCATATGTGCACACTCTACGGATTACCTCGATATTGCCTTAAGTCAATATCATTATAAGCTAAGATGATGATGACTAGCAGTGGAATTCAAGAAACGCGTTTTGTCTTATTTAGGAATTTTTATAAACGTCGTACACATCCAACAATTTAATGGCTACCTAAATTTAACATCTCAGTAAATAACGCGTTTACGTTTGAAGCGTAATTTAATGTGTTTGATCCTAAATGTGAACATCATCACAGAGATATAGAAGGTACATCCATCTCAATAATCCTTAATCAGTTGAAACATATGTACTAGATTTCACTACTAGCTATAATCCATCTATTCTATAATTTTGACTTGTGAAAAGTTTTATTAAATTGTTTTTAAATAACTTGTGGACTGCAGATTAGACGGCAGCGACTTATCGATCGGATCAATGACACGTAAAACACGTACGAGCAGCCTAGAGTCCTGATTGGTTGTGCTTCCCGCCCAGCCCAGCCAATTAAGTCCAGAACGCCAATCTCGGCCTCTGCGATATGAATCATTTATTTCAAACATACTCGTTTTATATATCAACCAGACAGACCACAACGTACCATAAAATAGAAAATAACATTTGTACAATATTTGGCCAACAGGAAAATGACATGTGAAATAAATATTGACCAATAGGAAAATGATACCATCTCAAGTCCAAGAATAGCATTAGACTTAACAGAATAATTTTGGGGATATTTTTTTGAATATCCCAACAGGTAAACATATGATTTCATTGTTAGTAATATATGATTATTACTATTATTATTATTATTATTATTATTATTATTATTATTATTATTATTATTTTGCTCTACAGATTCTGTAAATTGGCCTCAACAAAAAATTCGTGTAGAACCATTTCCAAGTGAAACAAACTTACCAAATTTCACTTTAATTAATCAAGGTGATACTATTCTAGGTTTAACACGTTCAAGATTACATTTTACACAAATTAAATATAAAACAGATAGTTTAAATGTACGCTTATATGGTAATATTGGTGATGCATATAATGTACGTCTTAGTACACGTAGTTCACCAAAACATGCATTAGATGGTTATCCAGAATTGGATAAAACTTCAACTATATCTGTATGTTTAGTACAAAATACAAAGTATGTTCATTAATTCTTCTCATAAGTAAGATTTTAATAATAATTTATAATAATAATTATTATTATTATGTTATATTGTTAATTATATGTAGATATTCACATTTCTTTTTCTTATACAATTTCAATATTTTCTGCTTATATGTCAATAATCTTTCATGAACAACTGATGTTAGCTTTAAAAACCGAATGAAATTAAATAAGGGAAATCATTTGACGAAATGATAAGAAATAATAGATGAGAAGAATATACTTTATCTATATGTGTACCCAGAAACAGTCTACGTGATAGCATTCTATGCCTGGGAAAGATTATCTAAGAATGTAGAAAAATATATTCGAGCTAAATGGTTGGAACCATGTGTTTCTGTAAAATATTCTTCGAATATTAAGGAACAACTAAATGGAGTCATTGTACTGGTCATAGATGAAAAATTCATTGATGAGGTAATTAATCTTTATCAGCTAGGGTAGATGGGGCATATATTAGGTAAAATTAATCACTGCCTAACACAATACCTTTTGCTAGATGAATTTCTGATTGGTTGAAAGAAAACTCGAGGCACCTAAACCAAAATATGATATCAGTTCATGAACTTATTAACTGTTAGTATAATCCATTTTGGTAGATACAGACTACTTGGTTGGGGTCATTGTAATAACCACTATAAGTGGTTTGAGACGTTGGATAACATGTTTGAGACTCAGTCGTCATAGTAGTAATATATTTATTCAAGATCTTAGGTACGAATATCTCATTAAATAATTTTTCATTCCTTCTCCTAAACTATATTTTTCAATGTTTAGTTTTTATGGTCATCATCTTAACTACATTTTTTTTTTACAAATTTCTTTGGTAGTTACCTTTTAAAATTCATTTAATTTGTCCATTGCATATATGGGTCAGGTTTGACTCTGACTCTAACTGATTGATTGATTCTATATTCGTGTAAATTTAATAAGACAGTCATAGATAGATAGATAGGTAGTATGGTGGAAAAGGTATCGCCATGATGCAAATTTCTCGTACTTACGAATGAGACCAATAATCATATGTAATCCGAGGAAAGAAAAAGACAAGTGACTACTTAAGATTTTGCAGTATGTACTTTTCAACAAAAGAGAGTACCTGTAACTGGTAATAGATGAGGATTACTTTTATAACGAAAAGTATTTAACAGCAACTAATAGTCAAAGTATAACTTATAGTTGGTTGAAACTGTGTACAAAGAGTTGTGTTTTGCTTAAATAATAATAATTCACAGTCACTAAACTGATGTTCTCTTTTGGTAATACCGAAATCGAAATGAGATCTACTAATCTAGAGAAGAAAGGTTGTTCGTTATCTATATTTCCATTATTTAAAACAACACATTGTCTATTATCTCATTAATCCACTTGATAAAGTGTTCCATTTCGATGGTGAATTATAGTTATCAAATTAAAATTATGCTTATTGTAGACACAGTTATATAATAAACCCTTGTGAACCAGGGTAATTTTACACTGATTTTAAGGAGACCTGGACACCATTTAGACTTTCACGTGACAACCTAAACAGTAGAACTCAATCCTGTTTATAGCAGACAATCATTTCAATGTTTTATAGCTTAGGCTTTTATATATCGAATTAAATATATTTGTTTTAAATATTCCTTCGGTTTGAAACATTCTATTCTACTCAAGGCATAGAATAAATATGTCTTTTGTTAAAAATGAAATTATGTATACGATTTTCATTCATCTAGAAAATTATTGTAATCACTGCTGTACGTTTTTTAAGTTCGTTCATGTCACTTGTATGTTTGGTGGTAAATTTCGAGAGATCATTTTAAAAGTCCTAGTGGAAAGATGTGGACAGGGTAGTTCAACTATGTTGGGTGTTAGAGAGTTAATTAAATGACCAATAGCATTGGTGAAAGATCGAACAATATCGTGAACTGACTAAAGTTAGATTTACTGACCACCAGATGTATGTTCAATGGTCTGAAAGTTAATCTCTTACCACTAGATCCATTATTCGAACCGCAATGGGACTGTGGATGCACGTTGCGATTGATGTGTCCAACACTCTGATCAAGTATCTGTTCAGTACTTCGTCGTTTTCACAATTTACCAAACTGAAATCAATCTATAATGTAGACCTCAGAAATTTTTATTACTGTTTTACGTACCAAGTCAAGTTTATGACTGTACATAAAGATTGTTTTTTGATGATCAATATGTATAAATAAATCTTAGATAATTGTTTAAAATTCCAAACATTCCATTCCATATTTCATTTTTGCAAAAATATGGAGTTCACTATTGTGTAGAAATTTAAATTATGTTTCAACTATACCCACCTATTTGGCATCTTAACTTTAAAGAGATGGATTTTATGAAATATTATCTTTCTCAGTACTTCACCAAACAACAGTATAAAATTCGATATTCATTAGTTTTTTCACAAATAAATCGTATACTACTTTTAAACCAAAATAGTAATTGATATCATGCATGGGTGAATGTTAGATCTCCATTAAAAACCTGGAAGCACTGAATGGCTGTTTCGTCCTGGTATGGAACTCCCCAGCAGTGCGCATCCACGATCCTGTATGTGGGACACGAACCCAGGTCCTTCGGTCTTGTGTGCGAACACTTAAATTCTAGACCATTGAGCCAGCACCCAACGGTGTTAATGTCTAACTTCAACCAATCCATTATATTGCATGATAGTCCACCATTATCTTCAGTAAGTAACTGCCTCATAACAGACATGGTTGGACTCTGTTGGTCACAGTTTCTCACTAGAACTTCAGGAAGTTCATCTTGAAGCCAGTCACCAGAGAACACATGATAATTACCAGTATAAAGTTGAAGAGATTGTTGAGTTTAAATTGATATCACGAATAGATGAATGTTAGACCACCATTGATAACCTAGAGGTTAAGCGTTCAAACTTTTGAGGAGTTCAATACTAGGGCGAAACGACCGTTCAATGCTTCCAGGTTTTTAATGTTGGTCTAAAATTGATCGATTCATGATCTCAATGAAAAACCTAACTATCTCCACAACTATATGCTGTTAAAATAGTAATATCAAAAAATAGATGAAAAAAAGCTATCGAAATATCATCAAAAGTGAATTTCATATCATTTCGTATCTTTCAGTATTATTAAGAATTTAATGTGTTGTGACTTTAAGTTGTGGTCGATTTATACCCTGTGCTAATTGTTCGATCGATTCAACGACACGTAAATACGTACGAATGGAATGGACGACCTAAAGTTCCGATTGGTTCCACTCCCCTGTCTATCCCAGCCAGTTGAGTCCAGAACACAAATCTCAGCCTCTGAGTTATGAATCATTGTATTTCAGACATACTCTATTTATATACTAACCAAACATACCACATCGTACCATAAAAAATAGAAAACAACATTTTGTACAATATTCAACAAGTGGACAGATATCGACCAGTAGGAAATGTCCATTTAAAGTCCAAGGACACCATTGGACTTAACATGATAATTATTGGTCTATTCTTCCGCATCCACAACATAATGAATTACAGATAACAAAAAGGCGATGGCTCATCATAATAAGCATTACCATACTTTAAATTCATTTAGACGGGAACTACTTTTTTTGTATCTATCAAACTAAGCATCATATACATTAATCCATAGACTTATCAACAGTACTCAATTCATCTGTGAAATCAAATATATCAATTATAGTTAAAATAATAAAAGCAATTTATACCTTAATATTATTGATATATGCAGATACATTAGCATTAAACTTCTATTAAACCTGTACTGTTTTTGTGATTGTTGTAAAATATCTTAAAATAAAGTCAAATGTTAACACCATTTCTAATATACCAGAACACTAGTTTAAAACTCTATTAAATTGTCATCTTCATATAGACTGAAAAGCTTTTTTAGTGATGCATGTTCACAGATTTCGCTGTTATATTCAGAAAAATGTTTGATTACACGGAAGCGATTGGTAAGAGATTATGTCTAAGACTTGATATGTCACGTAACATTTAGCATTATTTATATACATATCGATGTTGGTGAATTGATGTTTTCTATAGGAGTAATCAAAATGAGTGAATGGCTGAAATGAAATTTTAAAAACACCATTGACATATATCATCTAAATATTTCCAAAATATTTATAATGAAGTTTGTTAAGCCAATCAAATATATGAATGAATGATCCGCAATGAACTAGGTTCAGTTAAACTAAACATCGAGACTTGAACAGAAAAATATTTGTATGAACTAAACTATTGGTGTAATGAATTAATATGACTTTGTGAAACCGAATGGTGACTTCCATCGCAAATTAATTGAAGCATCAAATGTAAGCCATTTGATGTCGACTTACTGCTCTGAATTTTAATAATTTCGTTTAGGATCTAAAGGTCTTGGTTTTAATTGCTAGTTGAGTAGTGAACGCTTGCAGCTGAAGGGTTTCATACTATGTTCATTTTGTACCCATCATATCAGAAAATTGTAGGCTGAATTTATATAAATGATACTGTAGAGAGATAAAGTTAAACTGTTATACCTATAATAATATAAATCAATGGAGAGTCCGTGATGAATTACTAATGGTAATACTTATGCATGGTATCTCAATAAGTGGAAAACTGAGCAACTGGGATTTCACTATTTAGTGGTTTAAGATAATATTACATATAGTTTTAAAAAGAGGAAACTCGAAGATCAAAGATGTTAAACAGAATTATATAAAATTGCATTTATGAACACAATCAAATTATATTCATGTAGTTTGATGTGTCACTGTGAAACATGATTCGAGCATAAAGCTTTCGTTGTCCTAATTTAGATATTGATAGTGTTATCTTAATCGGCAAGGAAAGCTTTGTAACTAAACCATCTAGCTTAAAGAAAGTAATCCCATCAAATATTTTCACCTGAATCTTCAGCTCCATATACATTCATAGGAAAATATTTTAGGAAATACGTTAAACTACTTATAAACTCTAAAAAGTAATAATCAAAATATCTCCAAATAATTGTTTTATTTTTCATATTTTTTACAGTGATACATTAGATATATCATGGAAAGGAGTAATGCATAATTCAATGCAAATTAATTATTGTGTAGTTATTAATGCAAATGAAAATCTTTATTATGAATGTACAGCAATGTCAAGATTAAATCAATTTTTTAATTATCATACAAATGAAAAATTTGAACGACCTAAAATATTCCAAGATACTGATTATTTAAGACCAAAATTAATTGAGAATTATGTATATAAATGTGGTACAAAGTCAATGATAAGAGTAAGTATTCACATAAGATAAACAGATGAGATTATAATTTATGGACGATCTTTGAGAGACACTAGACTGACCTTGAGAGTGACCATTTAATAACCAGGAACAAATAAGGGTTATAAACCTATGTGAGACGTTATAGTTAATTTACAGCTAATGATTAAGGTTATGAATTAAATTTCGGGTTTTCATCATAAACTAACATTAGTTATAATGTCAAAACTTCATTTATCCAAATGGATGAGTGAATTTCGTGCTAAAATCCGGGACCTGTTATTTTACAAGAGATTTGTTTGTCCATAAATTATAGTTTCGACGATAAACATTTTCATTAAAACTTTACTTAATTACAAAAATTTTTATTTGTCTAGATTCATCTTTGTCAATGTGAAACATAAGACAGTATTAACTTAAACTAAAATAAAAGATTAATGATTTCAGTGGAATTATGTTTCTTATTCAAGATATTTCTTCTATGTTTTGAATAAACACAGATGGATGTGAAAAACTAGATTCAATCAGGAAGGAAAAAATGAACAAATGATGAATACATTTAACATCAAATTGAGATCAAATTAGATTGAAATAGATTTTGAGTAGTTTCAAAGGAGACATTACTTTTGTATAGAGATCATGAAGGTGGTAGAATTTTCGTAGTTGAAATCAGTAATTAATCATAGTTATACCACTACTGAAGATCAGGAAGTACTAGACGATTAAATTGTCTTCAATAATGTGTATCTAAGATCACATATGGGATTTAACCTAATCCCTACAGTTTTAAAGCATGAGGTTTACCTCTTGATTCTTTGTGGATAACTCTTTCACACCCAATATATGTAAATCTCATTGGGCATAACTTTTCAACAGAACTCTAAGAACGAACATTCACAGGACAGCACTCGTTTTTGATTAATCACGAACCTGGTTTGTTAGTCTAATGTACTTACTCCATAAATAATCCTATTTTCAACTACAGTAATATCTTAAGTTTCAATCAATACAACTGTTATTCATTTAAGTTCCAGGCAAAGTACTTAACAATATCATTTAACAGCGTAGCTATGTGTTCCACGAATAATACGGTGAAGAATAATTAACGATTAACAACTATCAGAACTTTTCCATCTGATCACAAATGATACGAAAATATATTTATTTATCAGGAAGGACTTTGCTGAGATTTTGGTAATTTCAAGAGTTGAATCAATTGAAGCTAGACCACTATGGAAAACCTGGGATCACTGGACGGCCGTTTTGTCTTAGTATGGGACTCCTCAGCAGTGCACATCCGCGACCCGCCCCTCGGTTCGAACCTAGGACCTGTAGTGTCAGTTATTGTGCTAAGCCCATATAATTTATTCTGGCTTTCGGACATCCCATTTTATTCATCCTACTCGAGCCATACTTTGACCTTGTTATTTATTCGCTTATCAATCTAGACTGTTTTTATATGAGCGTATATGTATGTGCCCTTCTTATCCCATTAATCACATGTCTGTAGCTTTATTTTGTCTGACTATAAATATTGAGTAACGCTTGACTAAAATGGAGTTGGTTTCCCTGCGCATCATTTTTGCTCTGTTCTATTACATTCACTTTACATACAAAATATATGTATTCAAAGGCCATTCTCATTAATTGACTTATCTAAATTCCGTTATTGACTAACGTGATTTAAGTCGATGATGATATACGAGAAAAGGCGATAGCAAACATTTATACGATCTAAATAGAAGTCAGATCAACGGGCCACTAAAATGGAGATCCCTTCAACGAATATCGTCCGACCTTAACGACGACAAAACTACGGGCCTCCCAAAGACCTATCAGTCTTGCGCGCGAGTGCCTAACCATTATACCATTGAGCCGGCATCCAACGGTGTTAATGTTCGACATCAACCAATCCACGACATTGCGACACCAATCCTCGTATGTAATTATCGACCTAAATCGTGTTAGTGAATAACGGAATTAAAATAAATCAAATACGAGAATGTATTTCCGAATACCTATATTTCGTACAATCGTTGATCACAACAAAAAATCAGAGAGATGGAAAGAAGGAAACGACATAGTCTGGGGAAGGCATGTTAACCAACTCGATTTAACCAAGCGTGAATCGATATTGATAGTCGAACAAAAATAGGTTACAAGCACATGATGAGTAGGGTAAGTAATTAACACACATGTGATCATGAAACAAAACAGTCAGGATTAATAAACGAATAAGTGATAGGGTAAAAATGTGGCTTGAGAAGAATGAATAGAATGATCTATTCAGAGGCTAGAATGACCTATGTGGGCTTGACATAGCACCAGCCACTACATGTTGAATACAATAAAAAAACAACTTGACATGAAAACAACTAGAAAGTATATAAAAGTAACTCAAAATTTGATAAAAATAAAACTAAAATTTTGCTGTCATTAGATTGTAGAATACAATCAAGCAGTGGATTATAGGAAAAGTCAGTTGATTTTCAACAGATTGATTGTAAATTTAAACCATTCTCAGTTCCGTTTTAATCCAGGAAGATAGTTAGCATAGTTACTATTAAACACGTAAATCTGTACTTGGTACATTAGTAAGTCAGTAACTCACATAGAATACAAATAATTTTAAACATTTTCAATCAAAACTATTGCGCGGTCACTTAGATATGATATAGATTACGCAATCAGTCTGAAAGTACAGGTTTTAATTGAAACATAATTTATGTCTTTCAACTTCCGCTGTATTATATCAGCTACTCAGTTCCATTTTTTTGTTCACCCATAATGAATCGTACTAAATTAGACAGACGTTTTTATTTTTTTCATTATTATTATTTGTAACTAAAGCCCGGCCAATTATTACTTGATTTATTCACTAATCGGAATACGACTTATACAATCTTAGTACTGTGCCGAAGCAATGAAATTCGACCGACATAATCAGCCTAGCGTCTTTATTGACCCATTTCCTCCTAGCTTTGCCAGTTGAATCCAGAGCATATATACCAGCTTTCACTATGCAAATCATTTATTTCAAACATACGTCGTTTATATACCAGCCAAACAAACTACATCAAACCATAAAACAGGAAATAACATTTACATAATATCAAGCCAAAAATGACTGTGAACGTGAAAGACTGTAATCAATAAACTGAGTATAAGTTAAGAACAGTAAATTATATCGTAATAGTCGTTTGGTCAAAATGAAGATTATATTAAGAGGAATATAGATATGGCTAATCTAGTTACTGTATAGTCATACAATAGGAATAAATAAATATAATATTAGTCCATTATTAGTTCTCAATAGTTACCCATAATCTAATCTTCACAAGAATATAACAATTATCATTTTAATAGTTGAGATCATGAGTCAATTAAAGCTTGATCACCATGAAAAACCTGAAAACACTGTACGTTCTGTTGTGGAACCAATAAAATTCAACCAGGTCTTTTGTTAGACAATAACTCACTGAAGACAATAGTAATTATGTCGTTTAATTTTGTAGATTAGTTAAAGTTAAACATAAACACCATTAGACATTGGTCAACTGGCTTGAAACCAATAAATTTTGGTTTCGAATCATACCAAGATGAAATCGTGAATATGAAGTACTAAGGAATCTCACAATAGAATGTGATTATTATTATTTCGTTAAAATCATTTTAAACAACTCACAGACACACACACACATTTTCTTTTTGATTTCTTCTTCTTTTTCTTCCTTCTCCCTCTTCTTTCTTCTTTCTTCTTCGTCAAAGATTAGACTAACATCAACATTAAGTCAAATATTAAATGATTTACATATAAATCATTCTTTAAAATTATTTATTAATGTTTATGCAATCAATAAACGTATGGATATTAGTACTGCATATCCGGTCAAACTAATACAATATTCAATACAAAATTGTCAATCAAAACGTTATATTAATAATATTAAAATAATCAATAAATTATATTATAATCAATTCTATTGGAATTCTGATGTTTCATTTAAAATGGAATTTAATGAGAAATTATATCAATTATATTATCAACCATGTCGTTTACCTGGTAATAAAGTTATAAATTATACAATTACTTTATTGAAAAAAATCAATTTACAGTAAGTTCTTTTGTTGTTATTGTTGTTGTTGTTGTTGTTATCTTTTCCTCTTTTTATTCTTATTTTAATTATAAAATGGATTTTGTGGAGAATTTTAGAAATTTCAATAATTCAAATCATAGGTCGATTGAAGCGTATTGTTGAGAAGTGCCACAATAGGATGAAACGGCTGTCCAGTGCTTCTATGTTTTCTATAGTGGTTTAGCTTCAATTGACCCATGATTTAATCTATTGATATTTACTATAAAGTTATGTTGTATATATAAATGAATAGGCTTATATATGATGATCGATGATGATGGTTTCACTTTTGAAATGAAACATCATTTTAAGGGTATGATTAACTAACAAGAAAATGTTTGTTTATTTTTTACTGACTAAATGTTGGATAGTGTTATATCCCGATGAGAATAATGAATGGTAACTTTTAGGATCCACTTATCGACTAATATTATACGCATATTTTTGTCATATGATTGTTAAGTGACTAAACTATTCATATTCGTGTTCCTCTCATCATAAGCTTCATTTCGACCTATGAACTATTATTATACAATTTACCATTTTTGAGTTGTGTTCAGTTTAGTCAATATTATCTTCCATATTCACAGACACTTTTGACTAGACCTTATACAAGTGTTATTTTCCATTGTATGGTATGATGTGGTCTGTTTGGTTGGTATATAAACTCAGTATGTTTGAAACAAATTATTCATATTATAAGACAAATTCATGATTAATAAAACCTCCTTGACAGATTCGGCCAATTTATGCTAATAATAATAGAGAAAATGAGACTGAAAGTTCTGAATCAACTACTACTACTACCACTACTCACATTGTCACCTCGACTACTGTTACTGTAGTGGACAAAAACATAAGTGTGTGTTGAGGGCAACCAAACGTGTCAAAACACAAAATTACAGAATCGCTTAGTAAAATCTTGGAACCGTACAGTAAATGCTTCATTTGCAAAACGTCTTTCAATTGTCTCGGACTTTATTATCCATTCATTTCCGTACCAATCACTCTCTGTTCTTGTTCTCTTCTCTTCTATCTTCTCAAATTTCTACCGCCAGATATTCCACTTTCTATTGGTGATGCATACTACTTATATCTGCCGACATCAGTAGCACACCACACTACCAATACTACTATATTGGAACACATGTTATTAGGGGAAAATAAAACACGACGGTTAAAGCAAAAATCGAAAGTTATTTGTTGATCTTATAAACTAAAATAAGACTTATTTGGATCAATTGCCTCTAAACAACTACAACAGAATCTATTCCCAAAGAATAATTGGCTAATTGTTAACCTACACTACTAATGTAGTAGTAGTCGTAGTGGTAGTGGTTATAGTGTATTGAACGAGGCCTTGGTGGGGATAACCAATTTATTTTAATGTGAAATTACAGTGTGCTATCAAAAAATATGAAAGTCATGCATTGAATACATCATTTGCATACCTTCTTTGAAATGTATCTTACAAGCTTCACTCTTCTTCATTTCTGTTGTTATCGTGACTGCTGTGATTTTTCTTCTCACTTATCCTTATTTTAATCTTCTCAAACTTCTGCTCGCAGGCTTTCTACTTCAGATCGGCGCTACATACTACTTATATCTGTCAACATAATAGTGTACACAACAGTAGTAGTAGTAGTAGTAGTAGTAGTAGTAGTAGTAGTAGTAGTAGTAGTAGTAGTAGTAGTAGTAGTAGTAGTAGTAGTAGTAGTAGACAAGAAAAGACATTGAGGTTACCAAACAGGTGAACAATGCCATCAACCAAACACATATATGACATTCATTTGTACAGTTGTTTTTTGTTATCATCTTTTCAGGAATTCTACTATGACAATATCAAATTTACAAACACTATGTGAATATCCAATCATCAGTCATCGAGTATTACGTATGTGTTTAGATTCTGGGAACGGAGTTTATTACTTACAATTAAATGGCAATCCTAATTTTGAAAATAAACAACCAGTGGGTAGATATTTTTTCTTGGGACCTAACACAACCAGCTTACTACCTCAGAAACCAAAATACACATGTATGATTAAAAAGTTATTCTGGTGAATCAGTTTTATTCCTATTTAACATACTGAAAATGTATATTTATAATTATTATTTTGTTTAGTAAAAATTACTCCGTAATTTAAGCTTTTGCATGAATTTAAAGAAAAAAGGGTTCATTTTGCAGTTAAAAACAACGACTGATCACTGCCAAGCAATCATGAAGCACTGGGAACCTATTTCCACCTAGTATTGATACTCCTGAATGGTGAACTGTAAAATCTCACAATCACCACAAAAATCCATGTAGTAATGACATTAACAATTCTTTATTATTTTGTGCATTTAGAGGGAATATGAGAAGTTTGTGAAAACTGATGAGTTCTATGTTTAATATTATGAACTGATCATAGATTGATAAACATCGAAAAACTGTTGTGATCTTGGATATGCACTGCTGAGGAGTTCCATCCTAGAACGAAATTCCAAACTAGTGACCACCCAGTGATCAATCAATTGTGAATACATCTCAGTCCTACGGATGGTTGGGCGCGGCCCATGAAAATTTATAGATATTATTAGACTCCAAGGTTTGACTGAATAAAATAGTATTTGAGATTGAAGAATTTATGACAAAGATCTGTTAACCAGTAGAATGACTTAATTAGTGTTGAATTTTATCACTGAAGTGATTTATTTGTTTAGTCAGATAAACTTTAATTGATTTTACAGAAATGTTAACATTACAACTGATTTCTTTTGAAGTTTTCACTGATAATATTAAAGAATCCAGAAGTAAAGAAAAGAACTATTTACTGGGAAATCAACTTACACTAAGTAATAAGACATTCGAAACTTAATTTTCCACCGGTTAGGATATTATCATCAAAGGCTGTCTATTCATGTCAGTAATATATTAAGATTTCGTTGGAATTGACATGAATGATCATGGGTTCAATTTATTTGTCAATTCTTGTATACACACTGTTAAATTATTTTCTATGATTAATAGAAAATTAAATACAATATACTTCAGTTGAAGTTGCTATACAGTTTAACCACAATAAGTCAAGAAACTAACAATATGATTTGAAAAATACAGATTGAAAAGAAGTTTCGTATAATGAAGTGAATACATCTACACCATTGCAATCGATATCCAAGTCATATCATTCAACATATATAAACATCGATCACAATTAACAGAGTGTATTTTAATCATGTGTTCTGTCGAAGAACTTTTATACTATAAGAAAATCGGTATTATGTACTCGTTTAGTTTTTTTAAAATACTTTATTTAATGACAGTTCATTATGACTGCATGTTATATCCCGATGAGAATAATGAATGGTAACTTTTAGGATCCACTTATCGACTAATATTATAAGTATATTTTTGTCGCATGATTGTTAAGTGTTGTTTACAAAAATGAGAGGACGAAAAACGAATGTCCGGCGCTTTAACCGGATTCCGAACTGATGGTGCACATGGACTCCAGTATCCTGAGGGAACAAATGGCGTATGAACCAATTTTTGGTCACCGGCTTCCATGGGACTGCATCTCCTTACGATGCTCCACTGCCTTGTGAATCAGACCTTCAGGTAGAAGGCTCGGGTGCGCACTGCTGAGGAGACCCATACTGGGACGAATTGGCTGTTCAGTGGTTCCAGGTTTTGTAAAGTGGTCCAGCTTCAACTGACTCATGATTTCAACCAGCTTTATAATTTTTAATTCAACAATTATCATTATTTCATGTTCATAATATCAAATATATTTTATTCATTTAAATTTTATTTACAGATTTTCCAACAGATATTTCAACCATTATTATTAAACCATCAAGTAATCAAACTATATTTCAAATTCCATCACCATTTTTACAACAACATTTAAGACATTATCGTTTTACTAATCATCGTATAAAACGTACTAATTATCATCAATTATATTTAAATATTAAATTAAAATCTAAACAAATTAATAATTATTTAATGAAAACAATTAATACAATTTCATTAAATAATAATAATAATAATAATAATAATAATAATAATAATAATTTTGTAAACATTCCAAATTTATTAAAACGTCAATTCAGAAATATTCCAATGAAAAATGGTTTTCAAATTGGTGTTGAATGTACATCACATCAAGTGTATATAAGTTTAAAAATTCATGTTAATCCACAAAATTATTGGATTTATACATTACCAGTATTAAATGATCCAATAAATAATATAAATTTAATGTGGGATTATTTAAATAATAATATGGTAAGAAATAATAATAATAATAATAAACTTGATTTTCTATTGGTTGATTTTCAAATAAATATTATTGGTTATTAATAATAATTAGATTTTAATTGGTTGATTAAAATTAGCACAAAAATATATTTGAGTTATTTCATTGGCTCATTTTAAGTTTCTATAACTCAATATAGTAATTAGTTTAAGAGTATAGTAGAGACAATTCAGTGGGCGACCTATGAACGACGGTTGAGTGACCTTGAGAGTGCCTAGCTAGTAACTAAGACAAAATGAGAGTTATAAACCAATGTGAAGAATTAGAATTATAATTTACACTTTATGGTTAGGGTTAGGAATTAGATTTATGGTTTTCTTCACGAACTGATATCAGCTATAAGGCAGAAACTCTATATAACTAAATGGATCAGTGAATTTCGCGCCAAAATCCGAGACCTGTTACCTTATACCTAATTGGTTCATCCATAAATTATAGTCTCGTCGACAATTCAACTATTCGTTCGTATTAATTGGTTCATATATCTAAATTTCAGTCAATTCATTACATTGTGCGACGAGTAAGTTGTGACTGAACAGTGGATGTTTTTCGATATCTTGTGTCACTCGAAATTATTCAACTGTATGTAGCTGAAACAAAATACAATGCATTATTAAAAAATCACAAACTTCGTTTCCATTTTGTTTACAATATAAAGTGTTAACAACAAGTCAGGTTAATTAATATAACGATTAAATGTTTAGGTCATTACATAGGTGTACAAAATTGATAAAATTACACGGCATTGATTAAAGTTTCAGAAATTTTTAATATACTTCTACAAGGTATACTTGTTTCTTCACCTGAACGACGTTTTCATACTGTACGTGCTTTTTTATCATTACTGATTTCCAGCAGTTGGTTGAGAATTTAATGAGTAAATAACAGTGAAATCAACTTTCTCCTAATGTGTGATTCACTAGCTTGATGTACTTGTATCACTATAGATATTTATACTGAGACTCATAAAGTAGTCAAGAAACGTCCTCCTTGAATTCCACTGTTAATTACTACCCAACATATAACCAAATTGAAAATAAAATCATCACGAAATCTAATCAAGGAGAAATTACAAACCCCCTTACACGTAAATCGACTAGAGAATTTCCAGGCTTATCATTCTAATTATTTAATGTATACTGTTAAGGAGTTGCCTACTATAATGAGACAGCTGTTCAGTACTCCTTAGTTTTCAATTGTATCACAACTGAGATCAATCTATGATGATATACAACCTACAAATTTATACATGCACAAAATGAATTATTTATTTATTTTCACATTTATTTTATATATATTATCTTTTTAGACCGATTATTGTGAATTTCCAAAGCATATATTATCTAAACAAATTAAACAAACTATAAAACCAATTTATTGTCAAACAACTCAAGGAATGCATTCACTTGAATTAACTATACCAGCATATCATCGTAATGATTATCCAAGATTTTATTTAATATTAATTTATGTATCAAATAATGATGATATCAATGGAAAATATAAACAATTATTTGTACGACAATTATTAGATACATGTAATATTATATCAAATGGTTGTTATCCTAATGTACCAACAGATTGTCGTCAAAATTATCCAAAATATTTACCATATACATTTGATCCATTAATGTCTAGTTCAGTAATATTAAATTCAAATTCATCTAATCAAATACCTGTATGTATGATAGATGAATATTAAATATGATTACCCTGAAGAAGTCCAGACAAGTTAGCTGGACGAAACGTTGAAATTAGTTATATTTCAATCGCTGAGAATATTTCAAATATAATTTTCACATATAAATATGTCTATTGTTTATTTAATATTTAATTATAATTTCATTAAATTTTTATTTAATTCTAGTCAATCATCTATAGAAACATTTATGTATTTGTTTATCATTTATCATTGAACATTCATCGCATTTATAATTTTTCAGGTTTATTTAAGAAAAAATAAACAAAAACAATACAAGTCAAATAAATGTTCACAATGGAATGTTTGTTGTTTTGTGAAACAAAATTATTTTTTACTTATTTTAAACAATGATTTTTTTTCTTATCGAAAAAGCCTTTCACAGTAAAAAAAAAGAAGAGAAAGAAAAAGGAGACAGATTCAATCTACAATATGAGACTGAGTGTAAACTACTAGTCAAATTGTCTATTACTATTATCACCACCATTTTTTTGGGGGGGGAGGGCAACTATAATAAGATGTCATATTTGAATTGTATTTACTATTTTCATTTATTTCATTTCACCCGGTGTTATGGTAACACCATATACAATAATAATATCTATCATTTGTTCTATTCTATATGATCCTTTTGAATCATTTACAAATTTTTTTTTTAAAAATTATAATTCTTTGTATAACTTTTCCTCTTTGATTATACATATTTAATTTAAGAAAGAGAAAAAACAACAAAGACAAATAATGTATTTTTCTCATAGCAACAAAATATTTGTCACTGTTTTATTTTATTGATGATTCAATTATTATTTTTTTAATACATATATCATCATATACGCATATATATTGATCATTGAACATTCATAAAAAAAGCGGGAAAAGATGGATAAAGCATATTTCTAGAAAATGAAATGAAACATTTTTTTTTAAAAAAAAGAGGAAAACAAATAAACAAACAAAATTCACATAACATCATAGAAGAAATCTTTTATTTCTTTATATTGTAACGTTATTTTATTGAAACTAAAATAAAGATATTTTTGGATATAAACGTACGTTTATTTATTTACTTCTTCTTTGTCTGTTACTTAATGGGCACTTGGAAGTTAACCAGAAATTATCTCCAGATAGCATGAATGGGAAGTTGGAGTAAGTACTTCAATTCTTAATGAAGTTGAAAAGATTATGGCTAATCTTAGCTAAGAACTAGTACCAGATCCTGAGATCTGTAGTGTTAGTGTTTCATTTTCAACACTTAATTTGACTGAGATATTAACTAGAATATGAGGACTGAAAGTAATCTTACCTAATTGGTTTTTATCGCTGATCCTACCAGTTTACAGAAAGGAACATAAATTCTCTTATGATAACGACAGACGAATCTAGTTGAATAATACTGTCTAAAATATTAGCTTTAGTAATCACGCGACTGTTCAATAGAATCGGTAGATAGCGAACCGGGAATGCATAGACCAAATATTCACTTTTCGTCAATCCCTAAAACATGGATATGTTCTCCGACCTCCGGCTTTGGTTGTGTTTCTTGACTTTAATGCAGCACCTGACCCTGTTGATCGAAAGGTTCTGTAGCAGTGTCTACCATTAAAAGATGTGAAAGAGAAATATATCAACCTTTAAAAAACGGTACTCGTACACTGCTGGTCATTATAGTGCTCATAGCAAACTGTCGTCAGAAATATCAACCTAAATTGATGTTCGTCCGGATTGTTCACTTTCTCACCTATTATTTGACTTTATAGATATCCTTTCAGAGATGAACCTCTCATCATTCAAAATTCTAGATATTGATCTGCTACTAAGAGATTAACTTTTCGACTTCGAATACTCAGATGACATAGTTCTGTTTGGTGAAAACGCTGACAAAATGAAGTCTTCTAATCGTCTTATGATGTAGGCGAGATATCTTTCTACCAACAAAAAAACGAGTTTATTGAACAGCAGTTCAATCTGTTGTACTTTATGGATGTTAAAGACTACGATTAAGAGTTGATAATATTCGCAGGTTATTAACACTCAGTTAGATGTAGTCTCCGAAACAGTAACCTTTTATTTCGGGATCACTGAGTGAGCAATGTAGACGTTAGACTTAGGGTACCAGGTAAAACTGTATATCGGTTGATGAGGTGGTTAGTTTTTATCAACTGGGACGACTTGGATGGGTATAACATCTAGAAATGTATTTAGTGTAGTGTTTTCAAATAAATCACTTTTTAAGAACAATTATGTAACTAGACAATTTAGGTTAAAATTGTGAAAAGGATTCAACAACCAAATTTTATTCTTCTGTGACATGTCTTTCTAGTTGTGGATGATTGTAAGATGGCTGCGCACTGTCGTGAATTGATTGAAGTTGGACGCCAAAATAGTTACGTGACGTCTAGAAATTAAGCGTTCTTGAGCAAGACCGAAAGTCGTGATTTCGACAACAACGTGAGTGGTTGTGAATGCGCATTAGTGTGAAATCCCATACTAGGATGGAACGGTCTCCCAGTGCTTCGAATTTTCTAATGATGGCCTAAGATTGATCGGTCCATCATTTCAAAGAAACTTCACAACCTATACAACCCCAAACTGATGATTGAAAGTACTCTGTAAGGACACTGGAATAGTGTACAGCTATGTTATTCATCTTTAATAATAGGGTCACAGTTCTCCCAATGACAAATGCCAATTTCCAACTACCGTTCCATATAAATTAAATCGTCGCAACAAGTGTACTATAGAAACAATTTATGAAAATCACACCTTTCAACTAGTGTACTTCCATATTTTTTTCCCTTAAAGTTATTACATTTCCATTGGGACCAACTTAATCATGCCCGTATAAACTTTTACGAATTCTGTAACTACTTTCAGAAGACTTATTTATTTATATATATAATAATATTAGGATTAGGGGAAAAAGATATGTTACCGAGTAAAGAAACAAACCAACAAACCAACATGCAAATCAATAAAATAAAGAAATAACTTTAACCAGTAAATGATAACGTTCTTAAGTAGGTTGGTTAAACAAAAGAAAGAAGTAATAATAACGACTGAAGGCACGAAAGTGAGCTTTACAATGAATAATTAATTATCTTGATATTTATTTTATTGCAGCCACGTTTTCTATAACGTGTCATCACATACATATTTCCATATGTATATGCATATTAAAATGAATGAAAAAACTGTACAATAAAAAGAGATCTGATTGTAAAGTTTGTTTACTTAAATTGAGAAGAAACATCTCCACTTGGCTTCATTTTAGGGTAGTTGAAATTTTATTATGAAGAGATTGCTGTGTATTGTGAGTGGTTAGTGAAAAACCATAGGTGCTTGTGTTGATAATGTGCATATGTTTGTGTTAATGTTTTAACGAATGGTAAGTTTAAATGAATGTAAATAAACATAATGGACTATCTGTAATATAGAAAATGTTTTATTTACACATTTTTATTTGAAGGATGTATAAATAATTTATTTTGAATATTCTTGGGGAGTAGGTTTATTATCAAACGATGCTGAAGAATAAATGTAATACAAATTTAACTACTTAACATATATTCTAGTAGTATAGTTTGAAAAGAGTTAATAATAAGGCCACATCACTATCCGAAAGATACGTATTCGTCAATGTGTCAAACAACAATGTACTTTATTAGGAGCTCTTTTTTGATCCAGTTGAACTGTATCCTTGTGACGATGGTTATACTACAATATTTTCAAAGAAAATTTAGAAAACTACTTGTTAGAACACAAAAAGCCTGAAAAAGTTATTGTATTTATTTATCTTGGTAATCTATATCTAAGTGGACATTAATTCGTGATGAAAATTGAAAAAGTCTCTCAAAAAAATTGCGAAACCAATAGGCTGTTAACAGAGATAACTTGGTGAAAAACGGCTATTTTTAAGGAAATGAATAGTTTCAGTGAGGGTTAGGAAGACTTCAGGGGTGACGCAAGGTCCACGAAGATCATCGATCAATTATACTGATTAAAAATTCTAATATACGCTGTATTTTGCGGTTTTTAATCGTTTATTCAGCATTCAAATCACTGATGATGAAGTTATCTTGGCAAAGATGCCTGTGGATATGAAATCATTAAAAGTGATAACTTTCCTGAATTTTTTGAATAATAGAAACTTAGATGGTAAAGTATATTACCACAAATTGAGATGATTTCGAAGTGAAGTAAGTTGAAGTACTTGAATTGCTATAAAAATAAACCATCATAACATCAGTTTTGTGTCACTTTGTCAAACTGTTCAACGGGATTTTTCCGAAAAAAATATATATCAACCTTATGTTTATTATTTATCTGAAAACTTTCAATCATATATTGAATGATTAGTCAATCAGACCAAAAGAAAGTCTCTCGTGACTCGAATAGTTGAACAATAGCATCCTAAAACGTAAAACGTTTTAACCCAAGTTCGAATATCACAAGAACCAACAGTCCTCTAGATTTAAGGTACACTTTGTTAGCAAGTGTCGATTTACACTAAATCTATATCCGGGGGTTCCTTCTAGACTTCGCCAACCACCTTCTATTGAAAATTCAATATTCTGTGATAATAACAATAATGGTGATAATAATAATAATTATTATAATCCTAATAATACTACGAGTTCAAATAAGCGAAAACAAAACTCACCGAATTTGACCATGGATCAAAATTATTATTACCCTCAGTGTTTATTTCATACCAACGCTAAAATAAAAAATAAAAAAAAACTATGCAACTACACTAAACAAATTCGGAATTCAACAAAACCTTTCTATAATAATAAATATCAACATGTACTTACTAATAACTAATTTCGAAAAGTAGTTCTCTGTGGTCTAATGAAAAACTATGACTAATGGAGTTCAACTATATCAATTTTGAGTCAGTTAATTATCCACCAAGAATATTAAAGAATATTTGCATAATATAAAAATTCAATTGAAGTGTCAATCATATAAACTTATGGATACTGTATTAATGATTTATGTGTTAGACCTTCGCTATGATACATGACAATTTTGGTTTTATGACTGAAAAAAATTGACTCTGTCGTCACTGTTGTAACTAGGTAGTCAGTTGTTTTATATCCGGAGAGTAGTATTTGTTATATTAAATATCGACTCTATTGAGTCCGCATTCTTACTGCCTTGACTTTACAATCGGGAATCACTACAACTAACCGATGCGACTGCTTATACTAAGAAGCGAGAATCACTGCAATCCCAACGATGCAATAAGCTAACACGAAAGATTAGTGCAATGAAGATTTAATGATTTCTCAAAAGCACATTTCCAAATAAGTCCCAAAATGACATACAAAATTACGTCAACCTTAAAATAATACCACTTATGTACCGAATTTTACACACATGTGGGTGGAATGCATACGGTCATAGTAAAAACAGATCATAAATATAGTTTACCTGACTTATTATAGAGTTGATGTTCACTCAGGTACTTGAACCCAATACTGTTCACTTCAAACGTCATCGCGTTATCCACTTAGCTACTGGGCCTTTGAAGTGAATGGTAATGGGTTTGGGACCCAGAGCGAATATCATTTTGGATGGAGATACATCCCAAATTGAATGAGACGCATGTCCTGAATTCCACTGATAGCTACGATCCATCTCTGCTTATTTTACTACAATGTTTTTACCTATTCATCATCATCAACATCATGTTTCCTATACCCTCTTCTAAACTTTAATAGTCTAAATATTATTACTTTTAGTCATACAGATTCGTGTTCATTATGTAATTCACATTATATCTAAGTAAATTTGTCAAAGTCTACATTTATCAATATAATCTAAATAGGAAGATGTGAAAGTATTGTTTTTCTGATGTGATATAACATTAAAATTAAACTAAAAATGTCTAATTCCAACACAGTCGTTCGGATTGTAGTTATCAACAACGTTTTCGATGTGCAAAAAATTTGTCACATTAAACTTTTTCAGCTCTTTCTTGTAATGAGTGACGCACTTGAAATGAAACAACAGTCATAACATGGGATGTAGATAATAGTAGAACCCAGAAAATGTAATCTCAGTGATAGTACTAATACTCACTTATTGCAAACAGTCACAAAAATTCCTTGGTATTCGAAGAACCGTGTCGATGAAAGATCCAAATATGATACTCAACAATGTGGATAATAAGCATCAATGACTAATGAACTTTCAACATGATAACACTCTAACTCAATCTACTTGTAATTGTCAATGAAATCCACCAGAAACCAAACCATGAATTATCTCTGAAACCTGACCTTATCAATAATTGGTGCACTACACCTTAAGTCGTGACCACTTTTGTGACTTACCTTCTTAGGGTTTTATGAACGAGTTTATGATTGTTAAAATAAAGGATAATAATGCTGACCGATCGATAATATTCGATGATATGATATGACTGAATGATGGCTGCTCTCGAAACCGAATTATTGACTTTAGCCTCTGACTGATTTTACAAAACCACTAATCAGAAGAATAGATTTTTGTTATTTAATAAGATGGTAAAATTATTTACAAAATATTCACAAAAAAATGAGCACATTAACATTTCGTAGGCGACTAGATGAAACCGGTTTGTAGGTCACCATCTCTCTGACCAATTAAGATCTGGGTGTTAGGACTAATTTCCATGTATCGTATAAATCCTAAATAACTATAAGGTCAATTATCGGGTTATAGTGAAAGACAATCAAAATAAATATGCGGACAACGACAGGACAAGTATCAACAATAATAGCCACTCTCATTCAGGCTCGATAGAATGAACTGTTAGTCATATGTGGAGAAGTTTAAGTAGATCACTTCTATCGGAACTTTGTATCGATGATATTGTTCAAAAGATAATGAAGCGGCAGAACTTAATCACCGAATACAGTGTATGCGACTTTACTGAAACCATCTTAACTGGGCTAAAAGTATCCTCTACCATTTTAAAATTCGTATTTAATGACATAGGTAGACAAAAAGGATAGAAACCTGACAAAACCTGAATCAAATTATTTTTGGTTCGTATTTCAAGAAAAATGGAAAATCAGACTAACTTTAGGAGCACCCCATGTAGACACCATGCACTCAGCAACTGCTTGAAATAAATTTTGTATATTTTTACCGGTTTTTGCACTTGTCTCAAAGAAACCATGAGCTGCTTGTTGGGATGTCAACTAATGTTAGGGAGAGAAGAGAAGTGGGGTCGAATGAGTAGTAAATTAAACTGAATATTTTTAATAAAAATTACCATAAGTAAAACCACATTTAAACATGCAATCATCTTCAAAGTAAGTAATTTACAAATATCTCAGATCATGAAGTTGAGTGACGCCTTGTCACTCTCAGCCTTTTCATTCATGTACCCCGTTGGATTTACGTACAGGAAGCTTGAGTATCAGTATCGAAAATGAACACATAACGCAACAAATTATTTAACATTTCCTAACTTTGATTTATATGATTTCTCTGATTATATAAGATTTATAGTCAGATTCATTTAAGGGGACTTCTCCTAAAGTGCACAGTAATGATAATAATAAAAAAATTATGATTTTATAATCTAACTTCATTACTGAAACCATAAACCTATGAAATACAGTCAAAATTCTTGATCACTAATGGATTCTTACCACTAAATAAATGTTCCAAGAACTCAACGTTTATATTAGTCATTAGTTTTACAAGATACGTTGTTAAGGACTTTTGGCAATGGATAACAACATGTATTTCCGAGTTGTAAGTTGATTTTCAAACACTGTTGTAAAAAAAGGTAAATAGTGGGTCAGCAGGATTGAAAACGTCTGACTAAAAGCTTCAAATAGTTAGGTTTAGTCAGTCAGCGATATAGTGAATGTGTAACGATTAATATATTTCGGCAATGTATTATAAATATTGATTGGTACTCATGAACAAATCAATACATAATGTTAATTGTTGCCCTCTAAACACTAAATCCACTTATCATAAAAGTTGTTCTTGTTTCCTATTCCCCTTCTAAAACTGATGATCGTTTGAGCATAAGTTACTTTCTTCCCCCGTGTCAAATGAATATGTCTCTAAGTATATAAGATATTCCCTCATCTACTGGACCTTTCTATCCTAATAATATACAACATAATCATTAATTTGATTTATACTGTTTTTACCCTCACCTTGTTCAATTCCTTTAGTGTATATAATTTATGCTACATACTAACATTTAGTAGTTAGTTTCCATTCCGACAATTTTCTGAGTTTTTGACCATCAGTCATTACATAATATTGCCTAGCACTTAAAGGCAAGACTGTAATTTATGAACAAGGCAACGAAAGACGAGTGAGCGCTCTATACGTCATGGAGCCTATTTTATTACCCAACACTCACGTACGATCAGTTTACGGCGGATTTTGACGAGGACGTTATGGTTTAGTGTATACAACTGATGGGATTATTGAGTTCCTTTATTCGTGGTGCTCAAATAACTACTGGACATTGTGCAGATTATCGTGACGATTTTGAACTTCGATGTAATATATATCGGAGAAAATGGTCTTCCAGAAAGGGGACTTTCTCGCTCAATCCCGATTGACACTCATACAGATTACGATAATTGTTGCGAACTAGATCATAGATGTATCAACAACACTGGCTGCAAACTTTGTAGACGTTACTGAAGCTTCAGTAGTTCAGCAGTATGAGTGTTATCGAGACACATGTGTAATGAAGATGGCAGGCTTGGGTCAGTCGTTTGGAGGAATCGAGAGGACCGTAGAACTTTACGAAACCGTCGTTAGAAAACGCGAACTCAACCGAGGAAGAAGTGTTAAAGAAGACTGAGTAAGTATTACTTCCTAAAATATACTTCTCAGGTTATTGGTATATATGATAGATCCCCTCAAAAAGAACAGTGACAAGTTACAACTATAATACCAATTCTACGAGAGTATATGAAGCCGGGTGCCATAATACACACGGATGTTTGGAGAGCAATATCGATGCCTATCTATACTTGGTTAAATGCATCGTATCGTCGTTCACAAGCGACACTTTTTAGACCCCATCATGGTAGCACACACCAATAATATAGAAGTAATGTGATCGGAGATAAAATAATTTAGCTTCATAGGTCGACTATTATGGAGTCACATGGATGATTCCTGTATTCTATGCAGTACGACTTTAGAACAGCCGAGTCTCTTTCTAATCATGAAAAGTCTTTAAACCATGTTAAAGAAGTGTATCCACTTTAACTTTTTGGTTTTGTACTATATATTCTTATTCTATACCGATTGTTTTCTGATCGGCTGGAATTTATCAAGGTCATTCAAGATTCCTTAAAAGGTTGTCCATAAATTATAGTCTCGTCATTTGGGTTCTTCGACATAATTCATATATTTTCATAATAAAAGTATCGTTTTTGTGTATAATATTGCATTCTTTTCTTCGATGGATTTACATTTCACTCGATCGTATAGTTGAAGCTTTGATATGAAATTAACACTCATTAATACTAAGAATATTGATAAGATGAAGTTTAGCACAATTTGTAATACACTTACTTGTTGACCTTGTTCTGTTGACACTCTTTTGTCTTTTATCATATCAATTTTATTAGCTACGAAAATCACCGGTACTGCATCATCCATATGCTGAATGAATATTATTAAAAATTATAAATAGATAGTGAGAAAAGAGTAGAAGTGAATGTAAAAATTGATGAACAACTTACATTTCAATAACAACGACAAATGACAAAAGTGATTAAGCTATGCAAATGCTTAATTTTCAAACTTAGTATTCATCATAGACTCAGCTAGTTAATCATCATCAATGCAGAGCTTTATAAAAATGTTCGTTGGTCAAAGTTACCAGATTGCATTAACACAACGAGGTGAAGTTAACATGATTACTAGAAAAAAAGTTCATAAGCTAATATCGTTCAGAGAATTCTTTGGATTAGATGAGTGTTTTTACTAGTTTAATCCAGTAAGTGGTACCCTCCAATAAGGGCATGACAGAAAAGGTAAGTGTAAACGGACACAATTCATTAGAACGTACATCAATAAAGGCAAGCATCAAATGAGTAATATAATGATGTAGTGATGAATAATAATAACGCAACAGGGAACATCAGAAAAGTAATTTGATTGTGCAATTTATATGTGGATGTTAGCTGCATTTGTAAATTTTTACAACAAACTTTGATGTGTTCAAATGTGCAAATCCAAATTCTGTACTATGAAGCATAAATAGTCTAGTATCGGTGTGTTTCTATGATCGTCTACAACAAGTTTAATACGTGATGCTACCTTCTTTTACTTTTATTTGCTAAGCTGTAGCTAGATCCATGAAATGATCTTTTCATTTTTCAATTCATGAAAACTGTGACCATTTTTTAAAACAATAATTCTTGTATGATTGGATGAGCAGCGCCAATATGTTAGCTAAAATCTTTATACCACCACTTCATTACACTAACCGTTTAAAAAAAGTCTTCCATAAACAAACTGTAGAGGTCCCATAGCAACGTAGACTTCACAAGGCGTTGAAAACAGAGCCGTGATGTTTCACGGTAAGTATAACTTTCAAACCAATTTTTATCGTTAATAGAAACATGTCACTAAAACTTTTAATCAGTTAATCCGTTGTTCAATGTTTATGCAACAATAAACAAATCGATTCAATTTCTTACAATCTCCTGTCAGCCAATAATTTAATGGTGCACTTTAAAAATTGATGATAGTTAAACTTGTATACTGTTGGACCTTGACTCAGTTTTCTAGAGGTTTAGCGTTTACGTGTGATCCCCTGGAGTGCGGTCATGAATGAGTACTTCTGAGGAGTTCTAAACCAAAACAAAAACATATTGTTTAGGTTGTTAAAAGAACAAAAACTCCACAGACAACTAGTGCAGCTCAGCGAATAAAACTCTACTTAAATCATTTCCCTGAGCTACAAATCTTCCAGACCATCCCATAAAAGTTGTCCACTGCTTCAAAATCTCCTGCCCGAGATTTAATCGAGGTGCTTCAAGCTCCATGATAAGCAATTAACCTTCAGACCACTAAGTAGATTGGTTTAGTTATCAAAAAAGAGAATCGAGTAGTTTTTTGTTAACAATAGTTTTCACAGTTACTATCAAATTGAAATGAAAAGACTGTTTTGGGAGTAATGAAATCTTTCAAAAACGCGGATATTACGAAATATGATAAATACATTTGCTGATAGTACACACGAAATCTGTTTTCATATGTTTAATTTTAAACTCTATAGATTACTTGATCTATCATTTTTAGAAATTATAATTCAGTAATAAACTGTTTGTTATGAAAGAGGTTGTTTATTATCATACTAGATCAATATGGGTCAGAATCATCCGGGACAGTATAGATAATTCCACCCATCATCATCTCATAAATCCCGAGTTTAAAAATTATTTTGTACTTTTTATACTGTTGATTCATTACTTCTACCCTAATCATTTTATTTGTGACTAATGTTTTCAATCTCCACTAATACTGTTAATAATTCTAATTCTATATAATTACATCTCACTGTACTGTTATGATGCAGCAACTTGAATCAATGGATATAATCATCAAGTTCTGTGTTGCTTTACAATGAACCAATCGATTAATTAGCTGATACTAAAAATTGCCTGATCAAATCATTACATGTGTGTACACTAACATTTGAAATCCGAAATTATCTTAATACACTGAACCGGTAGCAATACATTAGTTTATTTCCCTAAACAGAATGATTGTTTTGAATATAGTAAATTAACCATGAATAACAAACTTTAAAAAAAATAGGATAACAACAACAATAATAATAATAAAAGAAAGGAATTCAGACGGTGCTTTTATTCCATCAATCTCTTTATGCTGATTGTTTTTTTATTCTGAATTTGTTTTTCATGATTCAATATTCAAGATGATGATAATTCTTGTCCGTATAAATGATGTGTACATAATTTAACATAAATTTGATTATTATGCAAATTACACAATTTAGTCATAACTACCAACTGAGTTGTTCATCCATATGTTGCTATCTATCTATCTATCTGTGTATCATTTGACTGTTTAGAGAGAGAAAAAAGCAAATGAGTCTGAAAGTGTCTGAATGGTATTCACTATGAAAAAAACAATTAACAGAAATGATATATAAGTGAGTGTTGATAAATACATGGAAGAATAATTAGGTAACATTGAATTTACACACAAACATACATACATACATAAGCACGTATTCACACAAATAGTTTTACATACTTTTTGTTCGGACTTTAATTTAATTACATCAAAATATTAAGAACAATAATATGATGTATATAAAGAATATTAAAAAAAAACTAAAAAATAGAGAAAAAGATTTCCATCCAGGTAAAGGTGAAACACGATTTATAAAATGAAGGAAAGTTAGGGATGGAAACAAATCGACTCCGGCTTAATGGTTTACAAACTAAAAACTCGCTATGAAACCTGAAGTTCCTGTGTTTTTATCCCCTTTGAGAGGATTTATGGATAGATATAGAAGAGGAGTCCAAATATAAGGAAAAAAAAGCAAGTGTACAGTGCTTCTAGATCTACAATGGTTAATGTTTAATTAGGATACGTTCGTGGTAAAAACTATAACATTCAACAGTCTTTACAAACTCCGCATGTTATAATAAAAAATATTTGAAGTATTATTGGAATTATTGTGAAATCATTGATTGAATAATACTAATGTAATATAAAACGATAGTACATTTCTTAATGATTTAACGAATTCGTGATCGTCTTTGGTTCAGTCAACCAAACTTGTCAGCAGATTTATTCTTTATCATTGTAAATTAATAATATTCACTGTACTATAAATTTTTTCTTGAGCTATTCTTAGAACAGTTAAATATGATCTGTTAGTGAAATGATAAAAAAAAAGATTTACAACTCAGGTAGATGATTGAGATGTTGATTGTATCCTCTATGATAGATGATCTAACTGTGATCGTTGTCAATATCACAATATGTAACTTAACACGTTTAAATCATAGAACACCATTAACAATAAAAAATTAGTCAAATACATTAGAATAAATACTTCGAGTGTTCAATGATCTTAATTTTGGTTACAAAAAAAATGAACTTTCATCAATTGAATCAATTTCAATTATAAACATTATACATATGTAAATTTCATTTTAAATAGTTACCTCATCTACGGATCTAAGCCAATATTTACGGATTTGTTCAAAGGATTCTATATCTGTTATATCATAAACGATGATAAAACACTATTAGAAGAAAGTGAAAAACAGGGAGAAATTACAGTAATTACAATAACAAAATATGAACTATTATTATTATTATGTTTTCAAAACATTTTTAGGAATAAATAAGTTTAAATATCAAAGATAGTTTTAATTCAACTCTAAGTAGTTTGGATTATTTGGTTGTTATTTTTGACCGACCAGATATATATTGGTAAAAATGGGCACGGTATACATGTGTGTCATACAACTCACTTAATTTGTAAGTAGTCTGTGATACTGTCCGGGTGCCCAGACTAAGGCAGGTGGTTTTCTCAGGGGGTCACAACTGGAGCCTTCGAATCAAGGATCTGATCCACAAAGCAGTAGAGTAACGTCAGGAGATGCAGTACTATGTTAACCGGTGACCAACACTTGGTTCGTACGCCATTTGCTCCCTTAGGATACTGGAAACCACGCGAACTATTGATTTAGAATCAGGGTCTTCTAACTTTCCTAGGTGGACCCTCCGTGACCGAAATTTGATCTTTATAAATTGGCATATGTGCATCCAGTATGAATTGTCTCAATGTAGCCATTATGATACAAGTTAAGTGGATAACAAGATGCTCGATTCGAGTTTAGGAGTGGAGACTAATTATGAGATGTACCGAAGAGGAAAAAGTGCACATTCTATATTCCATAAATAGCTTTATTCTATTTCAAAGAAAGCTAGTTGTTGAATATGTAGAAAAAACGTTGAATATATGTCTCATGGTTTAATAGTTTACATCGTGGACAGTTATATGAAATACCTATTTAGTCTTAATACGGAACTCACTAATGCGCATTTACCTGCGAGGCTACTGAAGAGGGCTTAATCTTAAGGCTACTGAACCGATATCTATTAATTTGTCTCTATGGCCTTTAAAAATAGTTGAAACTTTTCTGCATTGCGCAGGCATAAACTAAGAACGAACCAAAGGCTAATAGTTTCAAATTCTCAGATACGTTATTGTTTTTAACTTCCTTTGTCATATTTAGCCGATGATATAATTCAAAAAGACAAATGACAGCTTTACAGACACTCTAATTCCAGAAGCATCTACTTGAAGCGATAATTCTCTTTAATAGGAAGAAAATTAAACAAAGAAATAAAAATTTTCTTACTAAAACTATTTTACAATTGTTGTGATATTATTGTGTCATAGATTTTCACAGTTTGCACTTCAATTAGTCAAACACTAAGAATCGGGAAAGAGTCTACATCTATTTCGTCCCAATATGGATGGAACTTATTGGTGATGCTTCTCCACAATGGGACTGGCGATCGAACCAACGGCTTTTAGACATTGCAGCGAGCCCCTAACCTTTAGACAATTGGTTTACACGTAAAATTTCAATCAATTTACGATTTTGCTTGACCATTATCCATTGTTGTTCGTTACAGTTGTTTCGCGAGTGACATCGTTGATCTTCACTGGTAATGACTTCTCACTAAAGCTGCATAAACTACCATTCAAAGTTAAGTGATTATTTTCACCTTTTTTGTACACTATACATAATCTCCATCACTCAGTGGAAAAGATTTAACCACACGGAAAATGTTAACGGTTTTATTCTTCTTCATTTATCTCAAAAATGGCTTTTTTGATAACGTGATGAGTAGCTGATATTGATTTTAAAAATGTAACGTATACGCATTATACATTCCGATTAGTTTGACCACACATAGATCATTGTGAAGGCATTTTTATTTACAAAAAAACGAGTCAAGGTCACCGATTTAATTAAAGGTCAAATAAACATAAAGTGATAATTGAAAATAAACACAAGAAACAATTAATATAAATTTGAATGAATAAGAACCTATCACAGACCATCGTAGGCCTTTAAATCAAATAGATTCAAGGTTGGAATCAATTGTTTTGTCAAAAACACAAAAAAAGTTTGAGTTTATTTATGCCCAAGGCCTACATTAACTTAAGAATATAACTTTGACCAGATTATTCAAAGTGTACAGTGTCAGAACGTCATATTTACAGACAAACTCCATCTTCACATTATAAGTCTATCGAGATGTGCAAAGCGAACTGATAGCTTTATCGACATTCACACTTAAAAGAAGTACGCGGTATAATTTCCTTAATACCATTCTCAATAGCTTGTAATATTTACACACTATCCGTAATCAGTAACAAAAGCACTTTAATTGGTTAATTTTTAACTGATCATCATCTCACTCAGTGAATGAATTGGTAAAGATGAACCATATGAGTGAGCTGTAGCTGACCTTGATAAATTCTTGACCCAGAAGACATCAAATACGAACGATTTATAATGTTAATACTAAGATTTAGGCTTTAGAATTAAAAGTTATGATTATTATTTTAAGGATAAGGATATAGGGCTAGAATCCAGAGTTTAGAATTTAAGGATAGATTTGGGATATAGAGCATAGGATTGTTAGTAATAGCCGTAACTAATCATCTACATTCAATAGATAACATTCTGTTTTGATGTTCACACCTTGATTTTGAAACCATTTCCATGTATATCATAGGCTTACCTGCATATTTTAGTTTTACAGATAACCCAGCACCTACTGGCTTCGCGCACGAGCACTTAACCACTAGACCACTGAGCCGGCATCCAACGCTCTTAATGTCTAACTTGAACCAATCCACGAAGTTGCGCCACCGTACACCATTGTCTTCAGTGAGTTGTTATCTCACAACAGACCTGGTTGAACTCCACTGGTAACGGCTTCTCACTAGAACTCCAGGAGTTTTTCTTCAAGTCAGTCACTAGTGAGCAGTTGATTATTATCAGAATGGGTTTTGTGGAGAGTTTATACAAATTTCATAGGTTGAAATCATGAGTGGATTGAAGCTAGACCACCATGGATAAGGTGGAAGCACTGGACGGCCGTTTCGTCCTAGTATGTGACTCCTCAGAAGTGCGCATCCACGATCCCGCACCACGCGTTGTTCGAACCCAGCACCTACTGGCTTCGCACACGAGCACTTAACCACTAGACCACTGAGCCGGCATTCAGATAAATTCTTAAAGAAATATTACATCACTGTTATTAATATTAACTAGCGAACTAATGACAGAGAGAAATGAGTAATAGACACGTGCTACGTTTTAGGTTTAAGACTTTTCTGCACTATACATTAATTATGTCCTATTCGTGATAAATTGTTCGAACATTTGAAAAGGCATAAGATATGAAAAAAGACATCTTAGTATCATCTGATTATAGCAAAACAACTGAGTAGAAACCATTGGGAAATAAAACACTGAAATAACAATGTTGACTTAGAAATTTATGTCAAGATATTGGGCATATATAGTCGTTTAATAAAGAGTGATATTCAAATGTAGGCTAAAGAAATATTCCTAACCAGTATCAAGAATAATTTACTAGTATCAATCATTGGTCTTGGTTTTTTCGAACTAAATGAATAAGCGATTTGTAAGAGAAGTCAGTGATCGTTGGTCAAAGCTATTATGAAAACTAGAAACTGATTAAGCTTTAGTTAATATACGAAATCAACACTTGAAAACTTTTTCTGATCTCAAAATTACACCGACTAAAATTCACGTCCAATTTCTGTTGATCTGAGCAAATTATTGGGGGTAGTGGAATTTTTAGAACTGTAGTTCGAGATAACTGACAGGCAACCATGGGCCTAGGCTTCGTGCTATTTTGATACTAGTCAACAAAGTTTTGCCCGTAATCTTGGGGGGATGGGTGCTCTTGTGCCACGTAGGTTTACATCTTAAGACAGTTCCCTCAATACTACAGGTACATCATGATGACGAAATCTATATTTAGTACGAAACCTAAGTTCCAATTTGGATTACCTCGAAGTATTTAACATCTTAACATATGTCACAATAGCCTAATTCCCTCAGAGCATTGAGCACTTTGGAACTTGATCGGTAGAATTCGCTCACCACCTAAAAGGACCAGACAAACATGACATTAGACACCACTCAATGATCAATTGATTGTAACCCATAGAAGTATTCTACGATTAATCATTATATCCATTTTAATTGTTCAGCTACTAAATACTTGGTGTATGGCAAATTCATATGACTTACTGCAAAATTTATTTCATTCGCTAACTACTGTTATTTGTTTGTCATTCTCTAATTGCGGTCAATTAATTACTCCCCTACTGTTCAGTTCTCTAGCATGATCAGTCATACTAACTGGAGCAGTTTGATTTCTAACAAATTTTAAAGAACTAGTAATATTCATATAACGAAGAATGACAAATGCAAATGACATATGAAACTGATCCACTGAGTGTAGGTAGTAATGAGAGTCAATAGTAGACAGTTTTAAAGTCAGTTTCGATCCAGATTTAGCTACGATGCCTCATTCAAAAGTTTCAGAACGTCCTTCAAATTCAAATTCATTACTTTCAATTTTAGTTCCATAATATTTAGCGTCGTCTACAGTAAATGAATACTCATACTATTAAGAATCAGTTCATAAAACAATTTTTTTTATTGAAGATACGCGATAAAGTGAAATTAAAAATGTCTGCCGAATTATCAATTAGTTGACGATAGAGAATGATCTTAAATACTAGGTCAATAATAGTGATATAGTCTGTAGACTAAACGAAAAAAACTATTTTCATTAGAACGGGAGCAAGTAATAAACAAAATCCAATGTTATAATTGTCTTGCCAATGTTTTCCAAAAAGAATCCCATATCATTTGATGAAGGTGATATTGTGGGGGCGGACACTATGCCAAGCCCACATAGGTCATTCTAGCCTCTGAATAGATCATTCTATTCATTCTTCTCAAGCCACATTTTTACCCTATCACTTATTCGTTTATTAATCCTGACTGTTTTGTTTCATGATCACATGTGTGTTAATTACTTACCCTACTCATTATGTGCTTGTAACCTATTTTTGTTCGACTATCAATATCGATTCACGCTTGGTTAAATCGAGTTGGCTAACATGCCTTCCCCAGTCCATGTCGCTTGCTTATCTCCATCTCTCTGATTGTGCGAAATATAGGTATTCGGAAATCCATTCTCGTGTATGACTTATTTAATTTCGTTTTTCACTAACGTGGTTTAAATCGAGGGTAGCCAGGATGTATATTTCGACAGCAATAACTCGACAACGATCATTTGTCCGATCTAACTGTAGTCAGATATAGGGCCACTAAAATATGACGAGCAATAACTTAGTCGATTCCAATGATATTGATAAATGAAATGAATCTTTATCTAATCAGTTGTGACACGCAACCACATCATGAGAAAGAGTAATTATTTAACTCAGTCAATTAGTTTTATCTGTTAGTTACAGATGCTGAATTCTATGATATTGTAAATATGTTCGTATTGTATGTCATTGACTATTTGGTAATCAATACTACACAATTCATTTTATACATATCTAACTGTGAGTAAATCATACAATACAAAACAAATTATGTATTCAAATATCAGTTTGATATATTCCAGAGGTCAATTACATTCATATCAATTATGTTTATGTTCTTAATATACATCGTCCGATCCAGGGTTTCAATATCAAGCATAACTCAATTAAGCATTCTACCTAACTACTGATTATCACTATTAGTCTTTTTTTTTCTTAATCACTTAGATAGGAATTGGTTTTCTCACAACACAAGCATAAGATTAGTATAGTTTGTATCTAATTGGGACTTGAATTCAATCATTAACAAGTCATATGATATAAGTGACATTTCTTTTTTAAAAATTATCACTTTTCTACATTGGAAAATATACACATTTATTAAAAAACTAAGTCAGTGGAAGCATTTTTTTTATGTATCGTCAGATTCTAATTAATATTTTGATCAATTATAAACTTCATCTAAGATGGCAAGAATCATGAAAAATTGAGTTGAACAAGAAACAGGAATAGTAGATATTGATTTTTGTGAAGTCTGCTGTTATTATATAAAGCATTCAAAAAGGAGATTGATACATAAACTTTCTATAAGTATGCTCCTAATCGGTTACTTAGTGAGAAGACTAAGTGTGAGGAGGATGTTTTGTTGGTTCAGTTGAATGGAGAGATATGTGTACACTTATATATATATACCCCTTGAAAAACGAGACCATTTCTTGGCCAATAACATGGACTTATCATTAGGAGACTCGATTAGCAGTAAAGTGACTCTCACTGTATATTATGTTCAAACTTCAATTAATTTTTAATGGTCTGAAGTTATAATTTGTGACTTAATCGTTAAAAGTTCAGTAACTTAACCGCTAAAAAGTTAATAGTCAGTAATCTTGTTTACATTTACATTGATTTCATTTGAGAACTTTTGTTAAATAGTTACTATACTGTGAAATACCTAAGGGAAACAACATCAAATCATTCATGTTTTCTAGATTATATGTTTCACAGCTATTCTGTACACTAAACCGCCAAAATGATGTCAACCCTATTATACGTTTAAATATTAAATATGCTTTTATTTCGTGTGTTTACTTCATATTGATAGGAAAGAACTTAAAATACAGTTGAAATTATATAAATAGTTGGCTTAGTCCTTGTTTTAATTAAATAAAGAATTAAATCATTGTCTGTTTTACACCATATTCAAATGTAAGTTCATAACATAATTTCAATGTTTCAAATTAAAATACTCTCTAGATATAAAGCGTTCAAATAACAGTGTTACAGTGTTTGGTCAATAAAATAGGGTTTTGTAATCAAATGCGAATCATACTGACCGTAAAATTAATTTGTAGGTCAATTTTCTGATGGTAACTTTTATCTTTGACCATAACTATAAGGGATACTAATTCAGGAATCATTAGTGCTTACAAGATTGCAAATATACTGTACTAACAAATGTAAACTTGCACGGAAACCGATGTGCAAGGCCGAGTACTTCTTGTTTCATAATCAGTTAACATCAAAACAGTGTATGTAATATTCAGTAGCCGAAAGGCTACACTGCTAATTGATTGATAGGACACGCCACAGTTATCTAATTAATGATGTATAGATGCGGTCACTCATAATGTTATTAAGTTGAAAAAAACCCAGTTGAAACTGATATATATAGGTTTAATCTTTATTAGAAATAGTGTGAATTGTTGAAGCAACTATTTCTTAGCATGGGATTCAAGTTTGTATTGGCCAGTATTGAAACCACAGAAATCATTAATGAGTACAACTACAAAAAAATATGTTGGTTACAAGAATGTTATCCACTGAAGGCAACGGAAGACAGTTGAACAGTATCATAAACTGTGACTGAAGTTAGATATCTACGCTGTTGGCTGTTGGCTCATTAATCTGAGGTTGAATGTTCACGCTCAAAGTCAAATGTTCCGGGTTCGATTCTCCCTGGTGGGGTCGTAGAAGCACACTTCTGAGGACCACCATAGTAGGCCGAAATAACCGTCCATTCCTTCCAGGTTGTCAATAATGGTCTAGCCAAGATTAATCCGGGATTTAAATTACGAAACTATAATTCTACTTTCCTTTTATAAATAAACCTTATGATATATAATAGTTGTATTTTTCAAAACCATAAAAGACTTTTATTCTCGAAAAAAAGTTTTTATTTTCACTTACTTTAGCCTCTCGAAAATGTAACGATACAATAGAGTGATATTGTTCTTGACCTGCTGTATCCCTGTAAAAAATTAAAAAAAGTAACAATTTTCTATGCGTAGTAGAAATGTTAAGCAGTGTAGATTCAGCTTTAATATTAATAAAGTTGATTTCACCTGAGTAACAATGAAGTAAACAGTGGTTATTTGAAGTATTTCAATCTACAATTTCTGTTCAAGTTATGAAGTCAGTTGTTACTTCTAAGTTGATCACATCATGGAAGGATATTTGAGGGATCTGAAAAGTCATGTATATTATAGCTAGTCTTGAAGACTCTGTAAGTTGATAGAAATACCCGAAAACAAATTTTTGGAAGTTATTCACATACATCATTTCTACAAGGGAGTTTTTGAAGTGTTAGCTTTGTACTTTTATCAATTATTCATTGGACAATTTAGTGACCTAGGGAATTAGGAATTCCAAAATAGATAAAGATTTGTAGACATGAATTCTTTATGTCGATACGGCTTGAACAGTGATCTCCCCGCAACTAAATCTTTTTCTTTTCAGAGAATTACAGAATAATTATTCTGTAGGCAATTATAAATTTACTATAAGGTTATTTACAACTGTGAGAAAGATTTGAAAAGAAACCATTCGTGTGAATAAATCCACATTCAGATTTTTAAGGTTCTGTAACCATATTTCCACAATATTAAAATTAGAAAACTGATAATAAACATTGCAAAACCAATTAACTTCTTAAAACTACCATACTCTCATAAATGTCATCACCTTATTAGTTAAATAATTTTGATTTATATAAACTATACTGATTGACTTAAAAATATCTTGAAAATTACGCGGTCATTTTAAGGGTCGCTCGAGCTCATCCCTACACTATATTTATATCATAATCTCCATATATCTTCTACCTTAAGATATCTATGATTAAAATAGAAAATGGAGTGTTATCATGAAAACAATTCACATTTGGGGAAAAAAAGTTCTATGTAGGCATAAGCGTCAAGCCAACCTTACCTAAGCATTTGATTTCGCTTTATAAACATTACAACTTATTATATATAGTTTGTATAACATGAAAAATACGTAATATAGGACTTACCATACTTCTAATTGTATACGATGATTTCCGACTGTGAATATTCGTTTAATCAAGTCAATACCTTAAATAAACAAGCAAAAATGAAAATGATTATGAAATCTGATTTTTGGAAAGTTTAGAGATAGATTTATTCTTCTATGTGAACAAACGTTTTTAACTGCCTCGAATTAACGTTGAATATCCATAGTGATTTGAATAAATCATCATCAGCAAATACAGTATATATAAACAAACTGACTTCATTTATTAAAAAAATAAGAGTTAGGTGTCTCAATCGAGTTTGTCAGTATTTTCTTCTCCTGAACTTACCACAGATCGGATCCAAAATACTCACTTCTTGTGTAAATGTGTTACTTTTATACTATTTGGTTAAAACCCAATGATCCATAGTTCTCACTTCAGTCAATTCACGTTATTGGATGGAATGAGTTCATGATACAAACTAACATCTTCATAAATATCGTATAACAGTGAATCTATAAATAAGAATTGAGTTTGTACATTCGTAGTTATCATCTGTTATAAATAATCTCATTATCACATTGTTGAGTATGAGTAAAGGAAGCAATGTATTGTTTTACCGATTTATTCATTGATATCATTCCCTTTACCATTTGAATTAATGAAGATGTAATTAACAGTAGCATTATTTCAGTTTTTAATCATGAATTTAAGTGTACCTATCTTAGCAAATTTAACAATGTATAGAAGTGTTTTTAATGTGTGGCAGTGAAAGTAAGATGTAATTGGCTATTGGACGTGAACTGGTAGACATCAACTATTTAATAGCTGTTTTCCTGTCCTATCACTGATTTCTATTTTAAGCTCGGTGAGTGTGGACTGATCGTGATTGTGTAATCTAAGGTATCGACCAGCCTATCATTTGGTCATGAATCAGGTATCTAGTAAAACATTGTCCAGTCTGTGTACGGTTCATCAATAGAGTATTCAACCTAGTGGTAGCATAATTTTCGTCACCGGTATTAAAGTTATATAACCATGGAAAACAGGAAATATTTTTACTCTCACAGTAAATCATTTTGATTGATAAATCTCCAACCTTGATTTGTCCTTATTCATTCACGAACTTAAGTCAACTTTATCTCACACGGGCATAGATAGTTCTTTTGACAAATTTTAAACTGTAGTGATCACGTTCAACGTAAATTTTGTTTTTCTTATCCCGAATAGTTACGTGTATTTGAAACTTTAGTAAATCTTCAAGATTCAATGAAGTTTACTTTTTCTGACATTTAACACAATTGTTAATATAATTGTTATCTACCAAACAACCGTTATTTATAAACGTTTGTCCTAGGGTTTCATGGTAAGTCTTTAAATTTTGATCTGACAACAATAGCTGTCGTTTTATATTACTTCACAGAGTTTTACTACACAAAATGCTTCTATCACTTTGGATTAGTCAGTTTAAAACCAAGAGTTAATTTCGGAAGTTTATATATTCCAGGGAATAAATGGAACTAGGGGGAGAGAATAACCAGACAAACATGATTACAGACGATTTAAAAAGGACAGAAAGTGAATACATAATCAGTCAATAGGACAAACAAGCATACTGTACATTGTTTAAGTGTTCAATTAAACTGTCAAATATATACAATATAAGACTAATTATGATACAAACAGATCAAAAATATTCTACACTACTTAATAACGGTCATGCGTTCAAAAAAATATTCAAGGGTATGCAAAATAAGTCTACTATAAAGGTTCTACACGATCGAGTTTGTTAATAGATTCATGTATAAAATAACCGAACTAAAAATTGATTAAAAAAACAATCTTCATTTTTAAATATGGTCTTCCGTGTCGTTAAAGACTTATTGATAAAGTTTTGGTAGATAATGCTCAACCGATATGGTGAATATCTCGTTGCTTCATATATAAGTCTCCACGATAAAAAGTGAATATTACTGAAATTTTAACTGGTGAATCCTGACTTAGGTTTTAAGCTAATCAGTAGTTCATCGATAAGATGTTTTTACAACCTTCAGACAACAAGTGCTTTCTGTGTCATTAAAATTCAATCGGCATTAAAAACTAGATAAATACGATATTCGGGGTTCATAATTGGTAATCGTTCCATTCGCATAACTTGGTGTTAAAATGGAATGAATATTGTAATAGTTGGGACTAATTCTTTGAAATATTACTACTAATAATATTTTTGTATAATTACCGAGTAACTAAATTACTGTGTACAGATATTCTATCTATCATAAGTTTCAGTTAACACATTAACTACGGTTATACAATTGACTATTCCGAATTTTTTGCCAGTCAATTACTTACAGTGTCCCTTACTCGCAGATAACTTTTGACTCGATCACGTATAAGTATTACTTTCCATTTTATGGTATGATGCATTCTGATCTGCCTGTTTATAAACCACGTCTGATCGCTACTTCTGAACCCGAGTCTGGACATGGAGAAGAGCTTGTGGCTAACAGACCAATAAAAACTCAGCTTCTGTCTTGAGGTCAGCAGTGATAATCGTTCATGTAACCGGTCAATTTTGGGACACCGGGCTGTTTAAGAAATACTAAACGCGAAACACATCAAACTAGAATTAGGATTCTGATTCGTGATTTGGCATTTTAGATTGATCAGTGGTCTCAAGACATAACACTTAGTCTTGCTGTAAGTTCCAGCTAGGAAAGTAAAGTTTTGCCACCTCCGAATGAACACTATAGAATACTATTTACTGGTTCTAACAGGCATGAAACGAAGGTCCGCGGCTTTTGATTGATCACTTTCAACCACATAACATCCAAATACATCATCTTTTTATTCCTATTATTGAAAACTTTAAAAGTAGACCGAAAACACATACATATTTTCCTTTCTTCTCAACCAATAAACTGAAAATATAATCAAGAATTTTAGACTGTGTTATAAACTTTTAATTCTTAAATATGACTGATATTGCAAGCCCATTTTAGTCAAACAATCATTGAAAAATTTTGATAATGTAATAGGAAGACGAAAATTGTAAGAACTATGTGATATATTATCGCAATACTTAATGTATCACATAGTTCTGATAATCTTCGTCTTCTTATTACATTATCAAAATTTATCTAAGGGACTAATTGCTTTAAATCATTGAAAACCTGGAAGCAATTGACGGTCATTTCATACTATTATGAGACTTTGCAGAAATGTACATTCCGGATGCGAGGTTGTTGATGAGCAAACTATCGAGGAGTATCAAGAAGAATATAATATACGTCCACTGCTTTCAAACTCCGCCTGTAGCTCTTCTAGGGTTACTGCCGGTCCCAAGCTCGGGTAAAGGAGGAGTGTTGCGCATGGCATTAGCGACTTCATTCCGTAGAAAACTAACTCGCTATAAAAACGTTAACACTAACTCACTGCTTTCAGGTCTAATTAAGATCAGTTAGTGATATAAAATCTATGGGTATTCAGTCAACACCACAAAAAGCATTATATTCATAGTATGTCAATTTTTCTAACATTTCATATTAACTAATCATATAAATTATTTACTATGACTAAATAATAAATAATTCTTATATAATCAATCAAGAAAAAGATGTTGATTATCACATGTCCATTATGAAAAGAAAAAGTCAACAATATAATTCATTTTCAACAGTTGAGATTATGAGTCAATTGAAGCTAAACCACCATCGAAAACCTGGAAATACCGGATAGCCGTTTCGTCCTATTGCGGGACTCCTCAGAAATGCACATCCACGACGCCGCACTGCGGGACTCGAACCCAGGACCTATTAGTCTCGCGACAGGCGCTTAACCAACTAGACCACCAAGCCGGCATCCAACGGTGTTAACGTCTAACTCCAACTAATCCACGAAATTGAGTGACACATCCACCATGGTCATCAGTGAGTTACTACCTCACAACTGACCCGGTTGAACTCCATTGATCACGGCTTCTCACTAGAACTCCAGGATATATCTCTTGAAGCCAGTCACTAGTGATTTCAACTGTTGAAATCACTACAATCTCCACGAAACCCCTTCTGATAATAAAATTTATACCTTGTACTTTACACTAAGAAAAACAAAAAAACAAACTAACTAAATGAAATCAGCTGATTTAGTACTTCATTATATGCACAAACTAAATTGAATGATTAATTAGTTTTAAAAAATTGTTTTCTTAAATGTTTAAATTTGGTTTGTTCAATTACACTATAATGGACAGTATGTTTAATGTTTCATGTTTTGATTTTTATCAATAATTTTGTTATAAAAAAATTGTATGATTACACTTGGTCTATAAGTGGCTAGAATTCACTAGAATAGCGCATTGAAAATGTCAGTTTTCCGATATTATTTGAAGTTAAAGGATAATAATGTTAATAGAATTGTTCTTGTATGTTTCATTGCCTGTAAGAAGTTTAAATTTCTAGATGAATTATAAGATTATTGGTACAGAGTTCTGTTGAGATTGTAGAAATTTTATAGTTTAAGTCATTAAATGATCTTAGATAGAGAACTAATGAGAGCAAAGATTCACTGGATAACTTTTTTTATCCTAATATGGTTTTACTCAGGAGTTCTCATCCACGACCTCACGTCAAAGGATTGAGTCCAGGACCCATATTTTTGCTCACTAGTATTTAACCCCTAGACTAGTGAGCCTATATTCAAAGTTGTATATGTTTAAACTTAATCAGTTCATGATCCTGACCTGTCATCTTCGATTGTGGATAAATGTCTCACACTTGAAATGGTTGAACTGCACTAGCTACGGTTTATTACTTGAACTTCATTTTGAAGCTAGTCGCTACTGAACACATGATTAACTATTAGTACACGTTTTGTGTATATTGTAGGATTTCCATAGTTTAAAGCATATCCAGAGCTTCCTGGTTTACAATAGTTGTCAGTTTGTGATTAAAACTACGAAAACTGTAGAACTAATCATAAAACGTAGGTATCATTATCAAGGTTTGACTTGATATTACAAATATTATATTTTTATTTATAATAATAAAAAAGTTTGGTAAACGTTAAATGATGACAACGTAAAACAGAGCCAAGGAAAACAAATTATGCAATAAAATGCTGTTAGACGAGGTTGTTGTTACTTAGCCATTGGCACAAATCAAATGCTGTTTATCACGATGTAATGTTATAACTGATAGCCCAATATCACTATCCACATTTGATTTGATTTTAAATGATTGGAAGTATATGGTAGAAAGTCGTGAGTTTGCATCTCATGCTAGTTGGTATTGGTTGACAAGGCAATGTTTGAGATCTACATGATGCTGGTGCTCCTCGTGTGATTTGAACTAGTGTCATCTAGCATGACAGTCAGATGCATTTCTATTGAGTTATTTGGACAGCAATTGATCTTCGAAAAGAGTCAAACGTTTACTTGTAGTAACTACTAATACGCGTACAAGACTTTAGTGTTTATCACATTTTCCCGACCAATATCGAAAGTTTTGCTTCAATCATCTATAACCTATCAGTACATTCATATTTCATGAAAAATTTCTAAATTAATGAATGATAAAAAATGATTGATATAACTTACCGATTGTTGAAATAGTAGTCTGATAAAATGTTTCACCAACAAGAGCTCTAAGTATTGATGTTTTTCCTACACCGGAATTACCAAGTAGCAATACTTTAAATTGTGCATCGAATCGTTGTTCACCTGTTCCCCCTCTAGTACCATTCACTGAAATTAATGGACTACTTTTTTTTGTTTTTCTCATACCATTTTGTTGTAGAAATTTTTTGACATAACCATTTTGTTTAAGTTGTGTTGTTGTTCGATTCGATGAGATTTTACAATTGGTTGTATTATAAGGCTCAGAACCGTAAATACTTTCGTGTAAATCAAATGCGTATGACATTGATAATAAATATATGTAAAGTTTTTCTATAACATTTAAACGTTTATAATCCAATAATTATATGACTTCCAGAATGATTGAATATAAATGTTTATATTATCGTAACAATAGAATCATACTCATTTGATTGTTAATTAACTATTGAAAATATAAAATTTTCAAATTAACGCTGATATCCATTCAGGTAACGTGGTTTATGCCTACAAAGTAAATAGATCAACATTTTGACCTGATCAGTTTAACAGTTCAGTCATTTTATTGAATAATATTAAAATAATAAGACTAGTTATAGTCATAACTATAAATTAGAAATAATAATCTTAACTAAAATAAATAGTCATTGCATGATTATAAACAAGAATCGAATAAACAAAAACAACAGTTTTCAAAAATATCGTTTGAAGATGAAAGAAGAAAAATGAAAAAGAAGAACATCAGGAATTTAGTAATCATGAATATCCTAGGTGAATGACAAGATATTTTGTATCATCAACTGAAGTTGAAATGATAAGTGGAATCTGCTTCTATGAAACGTAGAAGTCAAAAGACAATATCAGAATTTACTGAATGACCAATGTCTAATATATGTCTTCCTATGGTATTATCAGGTAATTTGAAGTTACTCATGTTCAATTTCTTTAACCTTTGTCCCAAATTTCTTACATTTCTTACATGTTATTCCAAGGAGACGAGAATATATACATACAGCTCGAGGCAAATTAGGCAGATACATCATCTAAGTTAAATTCTATGAATAACCATTTTAAACCATATTTAATTGTTATAATAGTAACTGAAAAAGTCGATGCAATGCTGACCCCTTGGAATAAACTTCTGTAGCACACCACTTGTTGGTTTAAAACTATTATTTATGAGCTTTACTAGATAATCTGATTATTTTCAAGATGAATTTTCCTAATAAAACTTCTTCAATCATTTACAAGTTTATTTGTGTAAGAATATAGTTCATTTCATGAATTTAAATTTTGTTTTACCGATGAAAATGTATCACACAGCCGTGACCAGTGGAGCTAATCTGTGTCGGGTAGAAACAGGTGTCTACCTTAGTACAATGAAAGATGGTCGTGCGATTTCGTGGATTAGTTGTGGTTAGACATTAACACCACTGTATGCCGGCTGAGTGGTTCAGTAGGTTAAGCGTTCGCGCTCGAGACTGAAGGCCCCAGGTTCGGATCCCGCGAGCGCGCCGCTGAGGAGTCCCACAATAGGACGAAACGGTCATCCAGTGCTTCCAGGTTTTCAATGGTGGTCTAACATCAATCGGTTCATGATCTCAATCAAAAACTTAACAATCTCCACAACCCCTAAACTGATATCATAAATATTTTGACATTATTTATGATCAAGTATTTATAAATAAATCCTACCTGATTAAATTCTCATTGATTAAACAAAAATTTTATTATCTTATCTATTTGAAATGAACAAATTTAATCCTACTGATTTATACTCTCTTTTGATTGGTTGGTTGAAATAAATTCATACTTGTGCAATTAGCTGATTGGTTTGATTTTTTTTTCCCTAAATATTGCTTACTTTTAATTGGTTTGAAAATAATGATTTAATTATTTTCAGTGTATCATCAGTAAAAGAGTGTAAAATCGGTAGATTTTGAAATATTACAATTCAATATTATAACCATAAACATATGTCAACTACTAAACGAATAAGAAATTAAGAGATATAGTAAAGCTTTTATTAGTAGTTACTATAAAATAAATGATATTTTGCAAGATGTTTGAAGTCGAAATCCTCTTTGCATCAGAAATTTAACTATTACTCTACAATCTGTAAGAACTCATGTATTATTTTAGAAATAAACTTTATATTATGAAGAAGACTATATATATATAGTACAAAATATCATAATTGAGATGGTGAATTTTTATAGCTCAGATGCATGGTTTTAGTAGAGTTTCGAACTCCGAACTGCATGGTTTGGATGATCAAACCAACTTACGAAACTCGATCAACACCATCATTGAATATTACTGAAAATAAACAAAATATTACATTCCTAATGATTATATATTCTACTTAAGCATGAATAAAAATTTTGCCTTTTCTTGGAAAAACTACTTTTCGTAATGAGAATTTGAGTTAAAAGCTTGCATTATACCACTAATTAACGATGAATGTAAGCTGAGTTAATGAACCTTAAGAAGAAAATAAGACAAGATATTTTAACGAACATTTCTGTGATAACAAATATTTGACCGCTTTTTAACTGTTGACCTGCACATAACAAACATTTTAATGATAGACTGAACTTAAACCTATGCACTTTATAATGTGTATGTATTTGATTTTCCACGTTCTCAATACTCATTAGTCCTCATCAGTAAATGTATATTTTGAGAGGATTGCTTCGTTATTGTTTATAGTTATAGTTAACTGTGAAATCCAAAGCACACACTCTATCCTATTTAATACACTTGTCAGGCTGCCTGTTTCGAAGTTTCTGCTGGTATTCAATCTCAATATCTTTCTCTCTAAAAGTCAGTGTGCTATTTATAGAGTTATTAAATCCATAAAGCCATCAACCCGTTTAGGGTGTATTTGTAATTGGGTTGTATATACATAGAACTGAAGAGTGTTAAATAAGATGAAACGAGCATCATAGATTCTTTTGTTAGCCACAGTACAAATGTAGTAAACGAAGAAGTCAAGCTGGGAAGACCAATTTATGAGTTAAAACAAAATTACAGAATGTCTTCGCGAAATACGAAAACATCTTTCATCGATTGTCTCTTACAAAATTTATCGTTCCTCCATTCCTGTTGTTATTACAAGTACTCTCAGTTTACAGTTCTGTTCTCTTCAATTCGACCTTCCCAGGCATTTCACTTCTGATTGGTGTAGCATTGGTGTAGCATACTACTTATGTCTGTCGACGTAATATCATACACTACACAAATACATAGTACATTCTTATTTTAGATTACTTTTCACTTAACATTTCTCATTTTTGTTTGCTTATATCATGCTGTATTCCCATTCTTTTTTAAACATCTTTTCACCGTATTGACTATCAATAAAGATTATGCAGGTAGAACCGAATAATACTGATTGATACGAATTACAGACGAGGCTTTTGGAAAGTTCGAAATTAGTGAATATAAGATAAGAATAATAGTATCATATGATGTTTACTGACAAGTTATATCACAATAAAATAACCAGTAATCTTGATCAGTGACAGGACTTCAATGGTAATGGAGATCCCCAACAAGTTAATAACAATAACTCAGTGATAATGTGATTGGTTGTGACACTAAATGAAAGTGGATCGGAATAGCAAACATAATAATAATATCTTGTTTGACACTAATACACTGCATAATCAGAAATATATGAATAAAAAATATACTAAATCCAAAGGCTTTTTTTACTTAAAACTTTTATCATAGATTATTAGAGTTATATCTACTTGTTCATACAATGACACAGATGTAGTCAGCTCAGAGAACAAAAGTCCACCAAAATCATCCACCTGAGCTACAAATATTCTCCATCATCTCAAGATGTAGTCACTCTTTGTCTTCCATCAGATTATTAATTTTACATTAATCTTATGTTTCTTATTCTACAAATTTATTTATTCTTCTTGAATCATAAGATTTATTACTATATGGTTTTGTGGAGGTGTCGGAATTTTACATTGTACATTACGGAATAATCTCAATTAAGGAAACTATTAAAAATCATAAAACACTGATCTAAATGTTAGGTGATCGCTGTGATATATGAAGATCCTGAATTCATTACTTGGCAGAGTCATAGATGGACACTTGGACAAAATGATTGTCCAGAGCTTCTTGGTTTTCAATGGTTGTCTGGTGAAAAGTATTCCTTTTCTAGTGTCTAATGTTTCTTTTTTCACTACTACTGATAATGTTACTAATTTGACTATTTTCATATTTGTCTTAATAACTTTATCTTTTTGTGTTAATATGGTATAGCAACTAAAACCTATAATATATATGTGTTATGTTCTATGTTGCTAATTCTCGTTTAATTGATTGACTGACTTACTCGAACATATTTGAAACAAATGAACAAACGTTCATTCAAGCATCTTATTAAAATTATATATATGTATATACTTGTATATACAATCAGTTTTCATTCACTGAATATAGATTTGAAAGAGAAATTAGTTGATATTCAAAAATACTGAACAAATATTTTACAATACAGATGTTAACCAAATAATTGTAATGCGTTTTTTTCTTAAAATGGTAAAAATTCAGAATTATAATAAACCATGGTGTATTTAATCTGTACATATATAACTTAATTAGAATCGAAGTTACCATCCACTAACTTAGATATTATGAAAATAACTAAAGTGTGATTCAGTAATTTAAAAGAAAGTTTTCAATGAAAATGCAATGTACAAAATCGATCGGATAGATTTATAAGTTTCTTTGTACTAATAGTTTTGTGTTGATGCCTGTATATTGTTAAAACATCGTACAGTAGAATAAAGTAGTTGTCCTAGTACTTCCTAGCTTTATGTGAATGTTTAACTAAGGTCATTTTTCTATGGTGTTAACTATAAAATCTTGAATAGTTAATTGAACTTGGAATTAATTTTAAAAGTCGATTCTATGGGCTACATTCACTATTGAACAAGAATATATGTTTATGTAAAATATATTTATAACACTCTATCGTAACTAATGTTTGGCGACTCTAGGTGACATGACTCAGAATCGATCACAATAACGTAGTTGTATACACTCTTTGTCTTTCCTTAAACCGTGAGATTAAAATTACTTTATACCTTCCTTTCTGTGAACTAATTCTTCCTCCCTCTACTATGTCCTGATATGAAATGTTTTTTTTTACTACCAATGACGTAACTGCTTTCAAGAATTTGGTGTTCATCTTGTTATGCTAATGAGGTGTGGCAACTTAGACCAATGCATATATATGCCTGGTCCTACGTTGAGACTAACTAAATGATTCTATTTTAAGTCAAAGTAATGATCTTATGTATATATATACTTAAAAGCATATTTATTTAAAACAAATTACTTCCTTATAAATGAACAGTTTAATGACTTTCAAGCATCACATGAAGTTTTGTAAAAAGTTTATTTCACCGACAATTGAACTTTTGTTTATAAAGCTATATTTGGTTGAATAATATGAATTATAGTTTTTGTTGACA